ACTACACAATCACATGTGGAGGCTCTGCAGGACTTTGGTTATTTGAACTGGCTTCTAATTTATTATATTTGATAGAATCATCATTAAAACTCTGTTACTGGAATAATGGACTAAAATTACAGAGGACTGGGTTTGCTCTCAATTCTCTGTAATTGCTGGACTGTGCTCTTACACATCCCCTCTGCAACTCTTAGGTTCTAGTACCACTGCTGTTACCACTCCTGTAACTACTTTCTGGCAGTCTTTTTTTCTGTCTTCCACTTCCTAAATCTCTATCACTGGCCATTGAAGTAATATAGATTACATTTTGCATTAACAATTAATAGTAAACTGTGGTACTGAGAGTTGAAATGTCAGGTTTTGCTTAGCTTTTTCTCTTCATCTGTGTTCAGCAAAATAGCTTTAAACAGCAAAAAGCAAGTTCAAGAAGGCTGTTCTCTACAAAACAACGAAAAAACTTTTTTTTAAAGTGTAGAATATATGTTGATTCCAGCTAACTTTTACAATGGTAAATATTCTATTTCATCACTCAGATATAACTATGTTAATAATTGGGTTACTTTCACCTAGATTTGTGTGTGTATATTTATATAATATGCATCTATATTTTTTGGCAAATGGATATTTGAACAGTTACATTTTCCTGTTTTTTCACTTAATTTATGAACATTTTAGCACTTAAAATTTCAAAATATTTAAAATGTAAAAAAACCCTTGAAATAATTTTTAATGACTACCTAGTGCTCTATTATTGGTCAAAGCTTACATTTGACAACTTCATGTTGGATGTTGTGATAACAACCAAAAGCAGCAAAATTAATCACTGTTACAATTTTTTAAATTAAAAACCTTTGAGAAAATTTTGGAATATTTCCTGTGATACATTTCTCTATGTGGGATCACTTGGACTCTTATTTTGTGCTGCCAAATTTTCTTTAGGAAGGCAGGGCTACACTTTGACAAGCAGTGTCTGAATGTGGTGGTTTCCTTGCACCTTTGCCTCTTGCATTTAAAAAAATCTACTGGCATGAACACTGTTATATGATCTTATTTTAATGCTATTCACTTGTCATCTCCAGTCCCAAACTAGGATAGCCCCTGTCAATTTCTTAATTGGTCTTTTGGTTTCCATAGTGATTCCATTTTCTACTTTTACGTTAGTGCAAAGTTCAACCTACTTCCTCAGCTGTCCATGCATAAAAGCCTTCCAGATTTGCTCTAGGTTCTTTACTTCTGGGGAAAAAAGCTATTTCCTCTTGGGACTCAGTTCACCATACTAGCTGAATTAAGGTCACAAGTACACTAAACTTAGAACTGCTTCCTTACTACAATGGCGGCCAGTGTCCAGATCCCAGATCTACAGAGAAGTCTTTCATTTCTGCTGTGTCCCCCTACCTCCATCCTAAGTGTTAGGCCTCAAACTTCCATTTAGCACATTATGGGCATTAGTTCCTTCAATACTAGTTCAGAGCAGTCTTGAATCAAGACTGCCTAGTCCGAGCTCCAAGTATCACAGATCTTGGGCTTGCCACATGGTGCAATTACAACCTTAGGAAAGAAGAAAAACATCAGAGGTTTTAAATGCTGCACAGTTTAAAAAGGATAATATGATACAGAATCACAGGATGGCTACTTGAGATTGTGGGCCTGGACATGAACATGACCTCTTTAAGGAGGTATGATAAAGTGGTATCTGATAAAAAGAAAGAGCAAACCTGGAAAAGAAAGCTCAGGGACAGAAACGGGGGGTGAAGGGAGGGACAAGAGGGAGAGAATTCCACACCGAGGAGAGTGGGGCAAAAGCAAGCTCAAGATGGATAAAATGAGACACTGCATGTAGAGTCTAGCATAATGTGATGGGTGGAGAGGAAAAGAGGGAAGAAGGTCATTGAAGAAGAAAAATGAGAAGGGACGGAGGGTATGAACAAATGAGAATCTTGAATCCTATAGGGCTGAGCTCTCTAGGGAAATTTACTCATCCTTTTCATCTTGCTTTGAACTGCATTTTCTCTTCTCACTTGCAATTACTACTTGGCCTTGGTCTGCTTATAAGTGAAGCTACTATTAAGAGCCTAGTGAGTCAGATTCATTATAGGTTTTATATATGTTCCCTTTAATCCTTACAACCTGAGGCAGGTTATTATCCTTATATGCTTGTTTATGGGTGAGAAAACTGAGGCTCAGAGAGTGTGTAACTTGGAGAAAGATGAAACATCTAGGTGATGGTAGAACCAAAACTTAATCCAGGCTGGTCTGATTTCAGATTCATGCTCTTGATTGCTACAACATACTGCTCCTCAATTAGCCTACTCTTTGATAGTTTCTACATTTCTAACAGCTGTTTATTCCACTCGGTTCATCTTGTTCTTCATTACTTAGCTATCTCTGTGATACATCAATCAGTTTTTTCTGCTAGCCAGATGTAGACATAACTTTTGCTTATAGAAACATCTCTTAGTTATAGAAGGCATCTTAATAAATAAGGCAGGGGCTTTGAAGTTGACTGGGCCAGTGTGGAATTCAGGTTCTGATCACTTTTCTCTGTGACCCTGGGCAAATCATTTAGTCCAGGTTTTATCATTCTCATCTGAAAATGTACTTCTCTGAATAGCTGAGAATTAAAAGACATAAAGTAGGGAAAGGCCCTAAAATAGCACCTAACAAATGGTAGGTGCAAAATAAATGGCTGCTTAAGAAACAAAACCAAAACCTTCCTCTCCTTTTACAGATAGGAAAACCGATTTGGAAATGTCTTGCTCAGAGAACAGATGCTCTATTTCTCTATCCAATTTCCATGATTCTAGCATCCCATGATGCAAGTTCATTGGAACCACTAAAGACATTCTGTTATATAATTTCTGCCTGAGTCAGCTCTGGCTGCAATAATCAAATATCATAAACTGGTGGGCTTATTAACAAGACAAATACATTTTTCACAGTTCCGGAGGCTGGAGGTCTGAGATCGTGGTTCTAGCACCACCAGGTTATTGTGAGGACCCTCTTCTGGGTTGCAAATAGTTGACTTCTTATTGTGTCCTCACATGGTAGAAAGATAGCTAGAGAACTTGGTGGGGACCCCTTTATAAGGGCACTAATCCCACTCATGAGGGATTCAGCCTTCTGACCTAATTATTTCCCAAAGCCTCACCTCTAATTATTATTGAATTAGAGATTAGATGTCAATACATGAAGTTTGGGGGGACACAAACATTCAGTCCATAGCATTGTCCTTAACAATGTCCATTCAGGCTGAAAGATATTTCTCCCCCGAATTAAAAAAAAACGGGGGAGGGGAATGTTTCATGATTTCAGATTTATAAAACAGGAATAATGCTATAGGTTTGTGAAGATCAAATGTAAGAAATGTAAAAGTATTTGAACATATATGAAGTGCTTTATAATTATAAAACATATAAAACTCTTATTATTAAACATATCTATGAAATGCCATAAATAAAAGCTAGGTGACAAGGTGGACAGATCACTTGAGGCCAGGAGTTCAAGACCACTATGGCCAACATGACAAAACCCCATCTCTACTAAAAATATCAAACTTAGCCAGGGGTGGTGGAATGCTCCTGTAGTCCCAGATACTCAGGAAGCTGCAGCAGAATTGATTGAAACTGGGAGGTGGAGTTTGCAGTGGGCCGAGATCGCACCACTGCACTCTAGTCTGGGAGACAGAGTTAGACCCTGTCTCAAAAACAACAACAGCAACAACAAACTCAAAACCATTTTGTTAAGTGAAAAGAGGAATAATTGGAATTTTATAATGCAAATGAAATGAAAAGGATTTGAATAATTGGATAAATGATCAGAAATAAGAGACTTCACAACAAACATAGGACAGTTCATAAAAAGCAGCAAATGACTTATAAATACTGCTTATTGTAAATGCAAATAAAATTAAGGACTATGCTTACTGTATTTTTAAGGATAACTGAAAAAGATGAAGATGAGAAATTAAAAATAAAGCTAAGGATAAAGTTTAGAACTATGTTTACTGTATTTTTAAGGATAACTGAAAAAGATGTAGATGAGAAATTAAAAATAATGCTAAGGATAAAGTTTAGATTAGGTTAAATTTAGTGTAAAAGAGTGAAAGCTTCTATGCCAGGGTTCTGTTAGACACAGCTGGGAAAACCATTGCCTTCATGTCGTGTGCTTTGTGACTCCCTGTTGACCAAAAGTATTTGGTCACCTCTTTACCACCAAATATTACAGTGTCTGAAATTACACCTGAAGACAGAGTCTTCTAGGCTAAGGTTAAATATCCCTATAAGGGAACTATTCAAACTGATTTAAGATTCTGATAATTTCTGAAGACAACATTGGCCTTGAAAGTAGGAAGAATGAGCTCAAGAAAGGAAAGGGAAACTCACGCTCTTTATGCTTTTCCAAAAAAGATTTTTTAAATGAAAGTTACATTTTCTGCAACATAGTACCACCCATTAACATTAGACTGCAGCGGAGCTTACCCTGATTTTGCAAAATTTACCATGTCTTTTGAGTTCCAAGAGGAATATAAGCCATATATTTATAAAACCTTTATTAAAAAATATATATACATATTATATATGTATTATAGATGTATATATGCACATATATGTATTATATATGTATATATAATATGCATATATATTGTCTTTTTCATGAGTTATTGACGGGAGATTTATTCAAACCTTTGAAACAAAACAGAGTAAGACAAAAACACTTTTAACAGAGAACAATGCATTTTAAATATATTTCCTGAAATAAATATTCCTTAGAAAAGATATAGGGTATTTAATCACCCAGATTCTAACAATATATTCTTCATATAAATGGTTATAGTCTTTATCACAGAGTCACCAAATCTGTACCTAATCAAAGAGTCAGACCAGCTCTCATTGAACTCCATTAGAAAACACCAATGTCACAGACTACTTCTCTTGATGTACAGCAGCAACCTCTGCTGGAGAAAAAGGGTATATTTCTAATAACAAAGAAGATCAAACCTGTTTCAACAGGAAGAACTGAAAGATTTCCTTTATTTTCTGTTAAACCAACAACCTATGTTAAAATTATTTTCAAGGTCTTAAAGATGCACGGGCCTTATCAAGTATATCCTTTCTGATTCTTGGATAAGTTGGATGTGCTTTAAGAATCTGCAAAACAAATAAAGATCCCACAGAAACTTGTAACTAATTATCAAGAACTACGGAGCTACAAAACTTACTAGAAATGAGCATTACAGTTAAGATTTCCTAGTACTAATACTACAACAGTTATTTAATGGAGGCATTTTAAATGTAACATGATGACTCCTTCATATTAATGTGTGAATATCAGATGTAGAAAATATAACAACTGTTTACTAAATAGACGAGTTGTACAAAACAAATATCAATGATTTAAAATATTTTTTGTAATTTAGCTTTTTATTCATAATACTTGATAAACTCTTAGAGAGCGATTTTTATACAGCAGTATACATCTGCTTTACCTGAAATAATCTTGAGACATATTTCCAAGTCTACTAATAGCGGGGAGATACTAGTTTTTTTTTAGTAACTCCAAAAATGATCCTACATATGACCTTACATTAACATACAATTCTAACCTGACTGAAATACTCTTTTACAGAGACTCAGTAATCAACAGCAATTACTAAGGTCAAGTATTTACGGTAATGATGCTGACAGATCGGATCGCTGTGTGAGAAAAGGGGCATTAAAAAATTATTTTCTAAGGAACTTTTCTTGGAGCTCCTTACAATGTTTAATAGAATGCCTTACATGGAATATTAATGGGACAATGTATATATGAAGATACTCTGCAAATTCTAAAACCATAATTTAAATATTTGTTATTTTAGTAGGCGATGAATTACAGAATGTAATTGAATTACTTCTAATAGAATTCCTTGTTATCTTTAGTTGGTCAATCTCAATTCTCTAGTAACCAGATTGAGACACATTCACAACAACTTCTATTCAGAACAATGATCTGGAGAATCTATACTATCTTCAAATAGCTTCTAACTTAAAGACTAAATTTCATTTAACATGTTTCTGCTACTGGTCTTTGTCTATTTTTTTATTTTTATTTTTTAGTAAAAGTTCCTTTACTCCACCACTTTAATCCTACTCCCTTCCACAGATGTAAATATTCTATGGTTTACTGTTTACAGATACCCCTCAGTAGTCTTTGTCTTTAAATTGACATAAACATTTTATTATTTGATCTCCAAGTAAACATATGTTTTTTATTTAGGTGAACATTATTTTCTAAATTTTGAACACTGATAATCTCCCTTAACATAGCCGATAAATCATTTAACTAATACATCTGGAGATTTAAAAAAGGAGGGAATGGTGCATCTGAAAAATTTTTAAGAAATCTAAATTTAAGTGTTTACCTGGTGACATACATCAATGGAATCCACATATCTTTTTGCTTTTAAGTAATTAAATGCCAGTTTGTATCCTGTTAAGACAAAAACCATAAAACAGAATGATGGAGTACACTGCTACTATTACTTTTCCTTGGCTCCTCCTCTCTTTGCTTACTCACTAAAGCATTTGTAAAGGGGGCTGGTGAATGAACAGCCAACTACACCATACAGAGAAGTTGCATGATAATAGTAGGCAGAGTGACACAAAAGAAGTATAAGGAGAAAAGAAAGTGGAGTTGGAATAACGGATCACTGTGAATATATTGATCAGTTAGAAAGCTGCCATCCCACAAGTGTGGTTTCTGTAACTTACTAGAAAAGTCTCATTTATTTCAGATTATAGTAAAAAACTCATCACAGGGCAGTAAATGACAACACAGCCATTCATTATAGCACTTACACAGGCAAACTGATGCCTATAGCTATGAGGTTTGCATTCTATCAGGAGAAAAAGTACATTTTAAAATAATTGCATGAGTAAATTAATATTTTAAAAACTAATACAATTTCATAAATGTTATGAAAGATCCAAGTGAGTCACCATAAAGAACCTGATTGGGGAAGAAGAGGGTGTCAAGAGATGTCTGAAATCTGAAGGATGAAGCATAAACTAGGCTGGGTAGGAATCAAGGACACCGTCAGTTACAGGCAACTGCATGGATTAAGGCCAGTGGCAGGACTGGATTAAGGCTGCACTTCCACTATCAGCAATTAGAAGAATGTTTAAAAGACATTCCTTTTAATGGATGTTGTTCTCCTGTAACATGCTATAAAGATGAGAAAACTAAAAAGACAAGTAATAGCAGCTGTGCACTCAGTAAACAAGATATTATAATGCAACGTAAAATAATATGTAATAAATATTTCACTCTACCTCTTAAAAATATGAAATGTGAATAGTGCTCTTAGGCTTCAATAAAAGTACCAAAACAAATGTTTAAAATTTTAAGTGTCTGAAAAGAATTATTTGCTAACATTATCAGATGCTAGTAAAAGGAAATAAATAGAAATGACTTAAAATTCACAATACTTTATATATAGTCAGGTACCACACGATGATGTTTCATTAACAGATCACATACCTGATGGTAGTCCGATGAGACTGTAATGCTGTGTTTTGTATTTTTGTAATACTGTATTTTACCTTTTCTCTGTTTATATACACACATTGCCAATAGCATTCAGGACAGTAACATGTTGTACAGGTGTGTAGCCTAGGAGCAACAGGCTATACCATAGAGCCTAAGTGTATATCTAGGTTTGTGTAAGTATACTCTAGGACATTTGCACAACAATGAAATTGTCTACGCATATCTCAGAATATTTCCATTGTTAAATGACAGGACTGTATATATATTTGTATGTCTATATATGTATCTCTCTCCACACACACACACATGCACGCACAGGCATGCACGTACAAGCACGCACACACAAAGGCACACGTGCTCAGGGCCTATGGCAGAATCAACCCTGAATGCTATGGAAAGAGCATGAGCATGATTTTAAGGGTTTTCTGACAATTGAAAAAGTGAAATGCATTGTTTATTTGGCCAGGCAGGTTGGGGGTGTTGAGGCAATGATAATCTTAAGGATAAAATTAAGGAATTAATGGAGAGCCTTAGAAAGAAATGTTTACCAAAGCAAAGTTTGAGGAACTAATAAAATAATTTATAAAGTACAACAATGACACAATGAAAGAACTGGTGATTTGGAATTCCTTTCTTTGCTGAGGTCTTCCAAGGAATGGAATACATAAATAATTTAACTTCTATGTATATTCCTTCTAGGGAATACAATGTCAGAATTAATATTTTAAGGATACTTAAGAATTTTTCATTTTACAAGGTGACTTTCTTCTGAAAGATCTATCACACTTTTAAATAAAAAATACTATAAAAATCATTAGTTCTTGTGCTTTGTACAAGTTTAGTATAGTATAAGAACAGACTCCAGGAAACCAAATGGTGACGGAAGACCTGAGCTAACAGCAGTGAGTGTGAGGGTGACCCATTTGACTGCTAATTAAAATTGAATTCACACTGTGACACGCCTGCTGAAAAGATAGATGTCATCTCAGGCTGAATTAGCAACTCCAAAATGCCTAATCAAAAAAAATAGCTTAATTATACTTACAACTAGCCAAATCATATTTGAGAGCTTGTTTATTTATGGTACAACAGGTCAGAGGGACATGGAAAAACAAAACAGCATTTTCCTAACTTACATGGCCATGACATCTACCACCTTCACACTCTATTCTTTTTAATAAAAAAATATATATATTATTAAAATCTCCCCAAGTGTTCCAAAGCACAGTTTGGGAAACACTATTTTGGAGCTTCCAAGAGACATCAACATGAAGGGTGAGACTCGGAATGCAATCTTAGGAAGAAGGGACAAGTAACTGCAGATGGCTTGAAGAGATAGCCTTAGGACACATGACAGAAGTCTGCAATTTAAAGGGTCATGATCTGTGAGAGAGAGACATTCTGTGGGTTGCTCCAAAGAATAGACTTGGGTAGTTTCAAGGAGGCACAATTCAATCCAATACAAAGAAAAAGAACACAAACATGAGGATTTCACATGAAGGTTGGTCATGAAGTATATTCTGATGGCACCTCTGTTAGGGACACTGTAAACTAGCATTCCTTAAACTAACAGTCTACAAAACACTGGGACTGGATGATGTTTCTAGATGCTCATGGGACAAGAAATCACCCATGGTCAAATAATTGTGGGAAACAGGGCCCCCTCTGTGATATCTATCTCAATATATATTAGTGTTTAAAGGCTTTGAGAAGTAAAGAAATGCGTGCAATTCAATTGAATGCAATGTTTTCCTAACTTACTTGGCAATGGAAACATCTTTTTCCATGGCATCCCCAATTTCAACATAGAAGAGGTGAAGGAAGAGAAGGGGGCAGAATTATACTAGATGTACTCTAAGGTGACTGAGGACAAGTTTGGAACTCAGGAAATCGTATTTAACTATTAGTAGCTAATAATATATAATGAATATAAAATTTATTCTCCTTTCAGAAAGGTTGACAATAAAAATTGACTCAATGTTTATTTTGTTTTGAAAAAAATCAAACGCATTTAAATAAAAATAAATAAAATATAATTTTGCTATGAAAAATCTAGGCGATTGCTAAACTCACCTATAGCCAGATTTGTCTGATGGCTATATTTCCACGCCATCTCATAGTTTAAGGCAGCATCTGTATATGCTTGCTCTTTTTCCATAATGTATCCCATATATTCATAAGCTTTGCAGCAAGACTAAAGAAAAATGGAAGACATCAATAGATTACACTTTATATTACTAAGATTTTACAGGATGTTTGTGACTCTAAAGGTCAATCATATTAATCTACTTAAACGACACATCAAACAATGGTTTTCAACTTTGGGTAGACAATCACATTTTTTACTGAACTTAATAAATGATTCTGATGCCAAGTCTCCAACACAAATCTGCAGTATCAGGGTTTTCTTTACAGAATCAGAAAAACACAACAGGATATTTGTATTGTACACAAGCACATGTACACTATTTATTAGGAATAATTTCAACACATACAGAGATAAGAACATAACGAACTCCATGAACCCTTATCTTCAACAATTATCTCATGACTAATACTGTTTCACCTCTATCTCACAAACCTGTCCTTCTGGTGTTACCAGAAAAATCCTCAGATATTATATCAATTCTAAATGTGTTAGTGCACACCTCTAAAAAACTTTATTTAAACATAACCACAATTTTATCACACCTAAAATGTTAATGACTTCTTAATAGCACCAAATATCCAGTACTATTTAAATTTTAATTATCTCAATATAATTTCTGTTTGTTAGATTGAGGATTGAAATAAGAACCAAACATTGTAACTGGTCAATGTTTTAATCTAGACTCTTTTGATCCAGAGGTTTTCCTTCTGCCTGCCTGTCTGTCTCTCTGGGTCTCTTTTCTTGAAATTAAATGTAATAGAAACAAGAATATTTATCCCAGAGTTTCTCACCACCCAGGATTTAGTTGACTGCATCTTTGTGGTGTTTATATAATATATTCCTATGTCACTGACATTTTCTAGAAATTGTAGATTTAGAGGTTTGGACTCAATTTTAATTCTGCGGGAGAGAGGTGAATCTACTTCATACATCAGTACCATGATAAGCCATAATGGAGCCTGAGGCATAAAAACATGGATGCATATTTTTGTGTATTTCTTTTTTTTTTTTTTTTTGGTGGAGGTTGCAGTGAGTCAAGATCTTATCACTGCACTCCAGCTTGGGCAACAGAGCCAGACTCCATCCAAAAAAAAAAAAGAATGGGATTGGGGCTGCTAGAGACTCTGCTCTATGCAGATAGCACACCTGGTCCTAACTGGTTCTTCAGGCCCTCAGAAGATATGAACCCCCGCCCTCTCAACAACCCATCTATAAAACCTGACACTTCTACTACAACTTGACAACCCATTTGGGCCCCCTCTCTGTAACAGAGCTGTTCTTTCCTTTTGCCTATTAAATTCCTGCCCCAATCCCACCCTGTGCGTGTCCACATCCTTGATTTCCTCGGCTGTGAGACCAAGAACCTTGGTATTTACCCCAGACAGCGAGGCCATTTCACACTGGCAAGCCAGGCAGGGTCCCGAAAGCTCAGTGTTTTAAGGGTGGAACAGGGAGAAGTTCTCATGAATGTCAGGATAGGCTGGGAGAGGGGAGAGGAGACACAAGGTCCTTGGTCAAATAATGTATTTCTTAGATACTAAGAAAAATGGAAGGTAAAATAAAGGAAGCTACAGAAGAAAAAGTATCTTTTTTTTTTAGATGGAGTCTCCTATGTTGCCCAGGCTGGAGTGCAGTGGCAGGGTCTCGGCTCACTGCAACCTCCGCCTCTCTGGTTCCAAAGATTCTCCTGCCTCTGCCTCCTGAGTAGCTTAATTGTAATTTTTTTTCAAAACATGAGTTTAAAAATATTGAATAATTTGAAAGTATATATTAAAAATCCATTAGGATTGAACATTTTATTTATACCTAAGCTTGGTTTCTTACCATTTCACTCTTCTCATTTTAATGGAAAAAATCTTCCCAGCAATATTTTCATTAAAACCATTACCCATTTAAAAATATATATAAAAACATGAATATAGGAATGCACATATTCCCCTTTGATTCAGTCTCCAATACAGCTCAGCACAACTGCATTAAATTATTATTTATCTTGATTACTGTTTCATTTGAATTACCCCAATCTTAGCCCTGCCATAGATGTATGTTCTTCTATTGGGAGGCACAGAATGTCTGATTCTCCCTCTTTTTGTGATGTTACATCATATTTACATTTATCAGGGTTGAAAAATGGGGATAGCCTATTAGTCTTCATTTATTAGCTGGAAAATCTCTATGATGAGAAACATCTCATTGACTATTTATTTGCAAGCTTCAGAAATAGCAGTCAGCTCACTAGCATACTGTAGTAGACACCAATTAGTTTTTTTTTTTTCTATTTTGGATCTTTGAGAAGTCACGGATTTAAACAGATTTTATGTGTTTCAATATATTGCAGTTATTCTTATTGATACTTAAAGCATCCCAACTTTGGCTATTGGTGGTGCCTTCATTGGCCACTAGGTCTTTGACACAAACGCTAATCATCATAGCTTCCTCAATCATCTGGTAAGGGAAGACAGTCTAGTGTTGTCTTGTACATTTCCTGCCCCAGATCTGGATGATTTCCATTTTTTAAATTATGTAATTCAAGGTTTCTAAGCTTTAGTTCTTAAATGCAACACTTTCAAAATCAACATATTCAACCAGTAGGGCTGAATGAAGCCTCTAAAGCAACCATCATGTTCAACTATGCAATGTATTGTTATCAGCGTTCTGGCAAACTGAAATTCTGTGTGCACTGAAACTTTAATTCTCATGCAATCTTGGTTAATCCTAGACTAGGCATAGAACGGTAAACTATTCAGCAATTTAGATTTTCAAAGCCTATTAATGAGCATTCTGTTTTTCAAGGCCAATTTAACTTAAAATTTATGTAACTAATCATCTAGAATAGTTTATAAATTGATAAATGCTTGGATCTTTCAGATTTTTAAGTTTCTAGGAGAGCGTCTTAATTGTACTAGATAATCACAACTCTTCCTTAAAAAATGAATGGTCCATTCGCAATGTAATTTGCTAAAACAGATTTACTGTGATTAAAATTTAAGTATATAAATATATGAAAATAAAATATCATTTCTAAGTTGTGTGCAATTATTTCTCAACAAAAAATAAATATTAACTTTAAAAACCCGTTATGACATATTTTGTAATTAATCATGAAAATGTTAGTAATAAGCCTTAAATTATAAGGACTTTATAATATTCCATTTTATACCTAAAGATAAGGAATTTTTATTAAACAAATCAAATTAAAAGCTGAAAAGACTTTCTCCCACAAAATATATTATGCATAATGGATTCTAATAATGTGAAAATGACATGCAGCTGCAGTAAATTCATCAAGAGTATTTCTTAATGGGAGGGACAGACGTCCGCAATTAATGTTCTGCAATTTTCATTAGTTCTGGGTTGAGATGGATAATCACAGGCAAACATTTGACATTCCAAAAACACTTCCCATTAAGTAGGGCATTAATACAGCTGAAACTTGAAATTGCATGAATCTTTTTTTTTAAAAAAAACTTTAAAGGGCAAATGGCTTCTTTGTTATTATTTATGTTTGTTTCCTGATTGTGGTAAGAATAAACATTTAGTTTTCAAAAATCACACAGGAATCCTTGGAAATGGACTAACATTCAACAGTATCTATTATGGAAAGCTTATGCAGCAAAAGTTAAAAATAATTATTTACTCCTAAATCACCTACTCTATTATAACGCAGGCACCGTTTTAATAGTTCTTCTGCCATATCGTATTTTGCTGATTGAATGTAAATATCAGCAAGTAGCAGCCAACTCTTTTCAAACTCTTCAGCATCAATAGCATTCCAATTCATTTTTGCAATACGTTTCAGCTGGTTTCTGGCTCGTGGAGTCTGTTTCAAGATCATATAAGCCGTTGCCATTCCCAAGAGTGCTGGGATATGATCCTTCTATAAGAAAATAAAATTTTAGGCCACAAGTTGCACAAATATAAATGTCCCGAAACATATGCAAAGCAGAAAATGCTACAAAAGAACTATTTGTGGAATATATTTCTAGCTTCATTACAGATAACTGATTAGTCATTATTTAGGACATCAAGTACCCTCAAGCTACTGTGAAGAGACTTGGTGAAGCACTGTGTGGTCAAGATATTTCAAGATAATGGCAACTATTCAGATGCCATAAGCACACAATTCCAAGAATTAGTGAGACTTTAATGGGATTCAAACAGCTATGTTTTAGTTTTACATAGAAACAGCTAAAATAAATCTCGATTTCAGTAAAATCCTTATTGATCAGTTTGTATTTCAGATTTAACATTTAGGCTCCTACTTCCTTCACCTGTCAAAGACAGACGACAATAATTTACCAGCAAATGATGGTCCTTATCCATTCTGACTTCTATTGCTTTTTTTCTCCCTCTCCTTTTATTCAGAAACCTCTTCTCTCAATCAAGTTTGAATATTGAAATGTTAAAAATAAGGTGTACAGTTAATTCACCACTTGGAAATATATAAAATAAACTCATGCCTTAAAATATGCTTTTACATTTGGATTCTGCAGCTTCCTAAAACAGTCTATATGATATTCTTTTGAATAGAGTTTGAAGTCAGAGAATGTCACTCTGTGAAACCAATAGGTTAATAAAAATTCATACAAAATGGAGACCATTAGTGATCTATCCAGACAACTTTAAAAAGCAATAATGTGTATGTTCCTGATTAAGGTAGAATGCTTCTTAAATTTCAGCAGATGGATTATGATGCATTTATAAAGAAAGAAGAAAGACTCAGCTTAACATACAAATGAAGGGGCCACGAGTGGCAGCTCACGTCTGTAATTGCAGCACTTTGGGATGCTGAAGCTAGCACACAGAGAGACCTCGCCTCTACTAAAAAAATAAAAAAAGAAAGAAAAAAAAAAAAAACTAGCTGAGTGTGGTGGCCAACCCCTGTAGTCCCAGCTACTCAGGAGGCTTAGGTAGGCAGATCGCTTGAGCCTGGGAGTTCAAGGCTATGGCGAGCTATGATTGTGCCAGTGCACTCCAGCCTGGAAGACAGAATGAAACCCTGTCTCAAAACAAAAAGAAAGGATGAGAAATTGTGACTGAGGAATGGTGATGCCATTACTATAAGTATACTGTAATACAGCAAATTTGGGTAACTCATAAGGAATATTGCAAAAGAAAACTGGTAAAATGTTCAATGTCCAACTAACTGATCATGGTTGGAAGTAAGAAATAACTCTGGAATAGAGAAGGGCAATATAGCAAGGTTTTATGAAAAGAGCTTTTAGAAATATAAAAACTTCCTTGCCTCAAATTCTATGTCTATCAGTAAACTTTGAAGATGTAATCTGTTCCTCTAGGTAAAAAGTGGCAAAACAGTTTCAGCTGAATGTCAAATCCAACTAATTGGTTGTAGATTATGAATATGTGTGGGATGTTACTAATTACTAAGCCTCACCTTCACCCCACCTCAGCCCACCTCAGGTGGGCAGGGGAGGAGAGAAAATAGAAGTCTGCTATTTATTTTTCAGCCAGGTCCTAGGACAGCCTAAGAAGAGGATGATCCTATGAAAAGGACCCACATGGGGCCGGGCGCGGTGGCTCACGCCTGTAATCCCAGCACTTTGGGAGGCCGAGGCGGGTGGATCACGAGGTCAAGAGATCGAGACCATCCTGGTCAGCATGGTGAAACCCCATCTCTACTAAAAATACAAAAAAAATTAGCTGGGCATGGTGGCCCGTGCCTGTAATCCCAGCTACTCAGGAGGCTGAGGCAGGAGAATTGCCTGAACCCAGAAGGCGGAGGTTGCCGTGAGCCGAGATCGCGCAGTTGCACTCCAGCCTGGGTAACAAGAGCGAAACTCTGTCTCAAAAAAAAAAAAAAAAGAAAAAAAAGAAAAGGACCCACATTCATTCACATGCACAAAAATATCCTACACTACACAATTAAGAATAACCTCTCTGACTTTAAAATAACACACTTTGAGTTTAATTAGAATGTATCAGTTCTTCACAACTTGATCATTACTGAGTGAACAGAAGAACAGTTTCCAAAAGCAAATCTGAGTTCTTTCTAATCCCTGCTTTAGGTCTTTTTCCTGGTGCAGACATCCTAAGACCTACAGCCAGCTTCTCTGTCTCTCAATAACTGTAAATTGCAGTAACTTTAGATTGCAAAGGACAAGACTCAGGTGTGGACAACACAGCTTTATTATAAACATCTCATCTTTATGGTTCAAGGTGGGGCAATGAAAGCACATGGAAACACTTTGGCTTGGGCTTAGTGTATCTTCCACCATTTCCTCCATGATTTCCTGTCACATACTTCTTTTTCAGTCCTTCTGAATGACACATAGGATTGTGAACATATCCTATGTTTTTCTGCCTCCCTGACTTTGTTCCCATTTTCCTCTTCCTCTAGAACACATTGTCCCCATTTCTGCCTGTTAAAATGCAATTTATCTTGGCTCTTCAATCATACCTGTTTCTTAAATCCTATTTTTTCTTAAATCATGCCGTCTTCACATAAGTGTCTCCCAACTCTCCTTATACTGTCTCCTACAGCATTTTTATTTGCAATTCTGGTACAGAATGTAATACATTTTGCTTTGTATTACAGTCATCATAGTCAGTATGCTTGTCCTATCTTCTGTAGACTATGAGAAACTTGAAAAAAGGGAACATACATTATTTATTTTTGTGTTTCCCACTATGCTTAGCAACCACTGGCTGCTTAATGAATATTCATTATATTGAATATATGCAGCCTATGAGTTAAAAGAAAATAATGTGAGATAAAATTTGATGCTTATGAAACTTCAGTCCATACATCATTTGAATAATATGGTTAGTAGACAGATTTGAAGATTGTATTTTACTAACCACATATGTAAGGATGACAAAAAAAAATGCAGTCTCATCAGCAGAAAGCAGGCATAGTCTTTCTAGGAAATAGCTGTAATATCATTCACTGCTTTTAGCCTTTTTTATTTCTTAAACTTCACAGTAGGGATAATGGATTTACTCAAAATGAACTTTCTCAATGTTATGAGACAGAGACACACATCACAGCATTCAGTAGCTATGGCACCTGACATGAGACTGTGCTTCCTCATGTTCCTAGAGATTCTCTTAGACATACACGATTGCCCTACTTCTGCTCTCCCTTCATTCAGCAGCTGTCATCCATCTGCTCCACAAAGCCAATTCAACAGAGCACGACCCATGAGCACATTTACTTCAATGTCTGCAGAAGGGCCTTGCTTTGGAGGCTTGCCGCTGCCATGCTGCCCTGCTGTTTTGTTCCAAGCGTGGTAATAAAGCTGCTATTTAGGATACTTGTACCCAAGCCACAACAAAAGTTGCAGGTCTTCCAAATCCCTGACATCTCAATCTCCTCTAGGGCCCTGGAAGCTTGGGGGAAAGAGATCACTGTATGGGGCTTTGGGTGGTTTATTGCTGCCACTATGACTTTTGAACCACAAGAAATCATGGCAAAATTCTGTATGTCCTTGAGAGACACAAAATGATGAGTTTTCGGTGGCCTACAGCATCACTGAATGGAAGAACAAACATGAATCGAATAAGCATGCTTAGTTAGTAACTATAACCAACTGCTGATGAGAGGGTACCTGGAATTCCTTCTTAATATCAAATAATTGAAGAAGTAAAGTACTGTGTGAGGGAAGGAAAAACAATACCTAGAGAGTAAGAAAAAACATGGAGGAGGCCAAGGCAGGAGGATCATCTGGTCAGGAGTTTGAGACCAACCTGGCCAACATGGTAAAATCCCACTTCTACTAAAAACAAAAAATAGCTGAGCGTCTAGGCAGGCGCCTGTAATCCCAGCTACTTGGGATGCTGAGACAGGAGAATTTCCTGAACCCGGAAGGTGGAGGTTGCAGTGAGCCAAGATTGCACCACTGCACTCACTCCAGCCTGGGTGAAAAGAGAGAAAATCCGTCTCGAAAAAAAAAAACAAAAAAGAAAGAAAAAAGGTGGATTCAAGCACAGTGAAAAGAGAAAAACAATCTCTGATTTTGTAAGAATAATACTGTGAAAATAACAATGAAAAGATTGCAGGAGGTTATTCAGTGTTGCTAAAGGATATCATTATTTGTATAACTAAATTATAAGCTGTCAGTATGATCTCATGTAGCTACACAGCTGGAAAATTTCCAAGTTCACGTAAGGGAAGAGGTAAGGTATCAGGGCAGCCAGGTGTTTATTTCCACTTAGTAAGTTAACCTTGGCTACATCTACAACACAGAAATTCTCCAGAGGACAAAGTGGCTCCCTTGAGAATTAACGTATGCACTTTTGAAGAATTTCCTTTCCCTATTTAACATTCCAGTAGAGAGAAATATATTAATAACATATCAAAACAGTAACACTGTCTCTTCTGCAAAGGAGACATTGTGTATGCTAAACTACATACCTAATATATATTTTTTTTTTTTGAGACGGAGTTTCGCTCTTGTTACCCAGGCTAGAGTGCAATGGCGCGATCTCGGCTCACCACAACCTCCGCCTCCTGGGTTCAGGCAATTCTCCTGCCTAAGCCTCCTGAGTAGCTGGGATTATAGGCACGCGCCACCGTGCCCAGCTAATTTTTTGTATTTTTAGTAGAGACAGGGTTTCACCATATTGACCAGGATGGTCTCGATCTCTTGACCTCGTGATCTACCCACCTCGGCCTCCCAAAGTGCTGGGATTTACAGGTTTGAGCCACCGTGCCCGGCCCTATATACCTAATTTTTAATAAAAGTAATTAAGTAAATCTCCCAAATATAAATAACTAATCAAAATACATGATTCCATACTACCAACGAAAGATAACATATGAAGCTGAAATGGAAAACCCACTAACCTCAGATGCTGCTATTTCAGTGAAGGTATTTAATGCTTGTTCAACATTAGATTTCTGTTTGGTGGCCATTAAGCAATAGTTTTCCAATACGCGAAGCTGTACTTGACCCTGAATGGTCTGAGGTTTTAGTTCCTTAAGAAGCTTTTCTGCTGTTCTCACTGCCAGCTGGACAGATTCTTGCCTCTCAGTTGAATTACTGAATATAATTAAAAATAAATCACTTATGTCTCTTACGATACAATTCATTGAAATTAGAATCAGAGCTTTTGTATACAAAAGCTCTGAGCACTCTTTGTATGCTTTTTCTCACTCATTTAAAAGTAATCTTTTGTGAAGAATGTCACTCATTCTCTTCTAATACAAAGTGAAGCACAGTTACAATGCATTTTAAACAAAATTAATACGGACTCGATAAAACAGCAGTAAGCATTAATTTCCTCTAGAATGAAGACAAAAATTTGACAATATCTACATGTTGTAAATGTGTGCATTCCAGTAAATATAAAACTAGAATACAAGTAGAATCACAAAATTAACATGTATCTATTCAAAAAGGGAAAGGAAAGAAAAGGGCGAGGAAAAAGTGGCAATTACTGTATTATTTCATTCTATCTATGTTTAATCCATTTTAGATACAGGAAAACTAAGGCTCAAATAGGTAAAGTAATTTGCTAAAGGTCATACCATTCATTAATAAGTGTAAACCTAGGACGTGAATCTAAGTTTATCAGACATACAAAATCTATTCTGTTCTCCTCACCATGTTGTCTATTAGAATCTCAGAAATTATATATGTGTCAAAAAGTAATTCCAAGTACAATTTTAATATTTAATAGCAACTTTCTTGTTTTATATACATAAGCACACACACATAAATATATGTAAATCAATTAATAAAAGGAAATGAAACACTCACAGTCCAATCACTAAAGCCACTGGTCTTCTTCTGCTCAGGCCTTAAGCTTATCTTGCCTGAAACATGTCACACAGTTGACTACCACTTTCAAAGTTCTTCTCCCTTGGCTTCTGTAACACTACATGGCTTTAGTTCTCTTTCTACCACACTGATTGCCCTTTTGTGACCTTCCTTCCTCCTTCCAGACCCCCTAAATGTTAGCAAGCTTAAATTTTAGTTCTCAGACTTGTGTTACTATACTCTACTCTCAAAGAGGCCATTTATGGAATTCCAACTATGCACTCTGCAGATGTCTCCCAAATCTCTATCCCTAGCTGTGACCTCTCTTCTGAGTTTTGGTTTTGCATTTTTGAATTGCCTGCAGAAGATTTCTACTTGGATAGCTTATGGTTCCATAACAGTAATGTCATCTCAACCTTCGTAAAACAACCATAAACACACCACTTTATTGCTCTAAAACTTTCAGTGGTTTCTGTAATCCAGCCATTAAAATCTGTCATTAAAACCTCTCAGCAACCTAGGGCTAATTTTCTCCGGCTCCTCCATGCATCTTCCCCCTAATACTCTGGACTGCATTTATTCCTATGAACTCCAAAAATAGTTAATATCCATTTAAATCCATTTCTGTTTAGTTGCAGATGCAAAGGTTTCAGGTATTGCATTGCCTCTTAAATAAATTACAGGCTCTTGAAGGCAGGAACTACCTCTTACATTCCCTTTGCATCCTAACACATTCCCCATATTCCTTGCCTGCATCTGAAGAGGACAAGCTACTAATGCAGGTTGATATATAACCGTTTACTAGCAGTGTACCACACTGCTTAACAGTAGTCAGGACTCAGTCTAAATCTTGACTCCATCATTACTATCACATTAAACAAGTTGACTCAGCTTACTTTGCAACACTGTTGTAGCAAACAAATGAGATAGTGCCTGGGAAGTATAGAGGACAGGGTCTGGAAAATCACCATTTGTTAAGTAGTTACTATTACTGTGTAGATAATTTTTACCAGAGCTGTCAAATTGTATAATTAGGTGAGTGTCTTCACAGCATGTTTATTATATTTTAGGAAATCTTAAAGTATTTCATGCCCATTTCAGAGAATACTTTACCGCAATAACGATTCTATTTAATTTGCTAAAATAACTCTTCTCAGAAATAGGCAATGAAATGCCTATTTATTTAATTTATTCATTTGGCCATTCATTATTGCTATCCTAGAATTTAGTTCTTTAGTAAAGTATCCCTGTTTATTATCGCCAACAAGCATTTTTTAAAAAAGGATAATGTGTGAAATAACTCACCCCAGGTCTCCATCCAGATTTTCAAACACTTCACCTCCAATTGTTTCATTATCCGGATTCAAACAGATTTCTATCATATTGTAAAGGGCATTCTGGCCCCAGTCACTATCTTTCCGAGCTTTATTAAAATGTCGAAGGGCATCATTTGGTTCTCCAGTGTACCTTGTTAGATGTTTAAAAGAATTATTTATTTCAATCACTGACTACAAGATTTATATTAGTTTATATTCTGGTCTGGTAAATAAAACTGAACTATTTTGAAATGTACTTTTTTTTTTTAACAACAAAGAAAAGCTTATTCTACTTGATTTACAATGAGGAAAAAAAAAATTATGTAGCATTTATTTGTCAACAGGTTTACCAAAGATACTGTCCTTTACAGTACTGAAATCCTGGCTCCAATTTCATTCTGGAGTTACATTTCTCAGCCATGGAGAAAAATCTTGGGACATCCTCAAGTTTTCCACATCTTCTTAGGAGATCAATCAAACGAGATAATGTCATATACTTATCTAGAAACAAAGAAAACTTCAGATATGGGGAACATTTTATACTGTTTGTTTTGTTGGTTATAATTCTACTTCATTAAACTATAATTTAGTTCACACAAAGTAGATTTTTAAATAAAAGTAACAGAATGTCCCAGGGTATAAGTCCCTAAAAAGACTGTATGGCCGACTAGATGATCTACTAAATCATGTAGTCTGGGCTAGGCACAGTGAGATAAGGTTCTAAATAGGCTAATCTAGAAAAATGCATATTTCTTGTACCTTTTCTATTGTTTTGGGGACTAAAACCTTAGAGAAACAGCCTCTACCTAGGTAATCTAGACTTTCAACTGTATTGTTAAGAAATATTGATTTAATTACACAGGGCAAGTTTACTGCCTGTCTCTGAGAACCCCTCTTCTACTTACTGTTGCTAGGAAGGATGTGGGAACAGTACAACCGACAAATAATGTATGGGGTGGGCAATAAGAAATTTGTCTCCAGTCTCTCTTTGATATGTATATGTAGCTAACATACCATATGCTAGCTTACCATTCTACAACCTTAGCATATTAGTCCCCATATTTTAATTCCATTTCACCTTCTTCTAAGAAAAACATAGTTAATTCATTTCTTTGATCTCAGGAATAATTTCCTGGCAGGTTCCTAGAAAGTCTTCTCCCAAATCTATCTAGTTCTCTAATCACTAACATACTAAGCTTTGAGAATAATTTAATAAATCTTTTTTAGGACTATAAAAATAATGTATAGACACTACAAGAAAAATAAGAAAAAATATAAAAAGTATCAAGAAAAAAAACCATTCATATTTCCAGCTAGAGTAGCACATTTTGGTGTGTTTTCTTTCATATATTGGAAAATCAACCTATATATAAATGTAAGCAAAGATACGTATTTCTTTGCTTACATTCATAAAAAAATCAACATCTGTTTACATATATACAAAACTGGAGTCACACTTGGGGCTTTGACTTTGATTGGTTTTGACTGGTTTTAATGTTGACTTTGATGAGCATTAAACGATATACATTTCCCAATTGTCATTAAATAATCTTCCAAAACATGACTTTTAATGTTTGCTTAATGGTTTACTTACTGATGATTCACATGATTTATTTCTTTATAGTGGTGTCTTTAGATATTTGGGTGCTAAAGTTTCAGTTAGCATAGGACTAGGGATTTGTAGAGGACTTGTAAAAAACTTTACATAAGCTATTCTGAACATGTTCTTAGGTTGAATTTCTACAATTAAAAAAAAAAAACAGAAGCTTGCTTTAAAGCTATTTATCCTTGACTCTATTTTGCTATTTGAAAAGAGAAGATACAATATAATTCAGCAATTTTTTCTGAATAGATACACAAAAAATTAAAAGCAGAGACTCAAACAGATATTTGTACACCAACGTTCATAGCAGTGACCTTCACAATAGACAGAAAGTGGAAAGCGTCCAAATGTCCATTGCGGTTGAATGAATAACCAAAATGTAGTACATACATACAAAAGAATGTTGTATGTTGTATGTCAGCCATAAAAAAGAAGGAAATTTTGACATACACTATAACATGGATGAACTGTGAAGACATTACACCAAGTGAAATAAGCCAGACAGAAAAAGGCAAATGCTGTGTGATATCGCTTATACGAGGTGTCTAGAATAGTCAAATTCATAAACACAGAAAGTAAAATGATGGCTGCCAGGGGTTTGGGGGAGAGAAATGAGGAACTGGCACATAGACTTACAATTTGGAATGGTGAAAAAGTTTTGGAGATGAACAATGGTAATGAGTTACACAACAATGTGAATGCATTTAATGCCACTGAATTGTACACTTAAACATGGTGAAGATGAATTTTGTGTTACATATATTGTACCACAATACAAAATATTATTTTTATTAAAAAAAGAACATCTGGAAACACTGTATCTACTCAATTACAGAATGTCGAAATAATACAGGTTGATAATATCATTTGTCCCCTTGACACATAATCTTGAGTCCAGAGAGAGATTTTATCACTCCTTTTAGCATCACTAAAAAGGGCAAAATAAGAATATGGATTCAGAAAAAGACAATTCAAATACTGGTCTTGTCCTTTAGCTATGTGAATTCAAGCAAATTATGCAAACTATTTGATTCCAACATACTTATTTTCCTAAAATATGATTATAATATTGACTACAGTTGTGCTACAGAAATAAAGGCATGAAAAATATTTATAAATTATAAATGTTATTAATAATATTTATACCTCCAAAAATTTTGATAAGAAATAGAGTAACTACTCCTTAATAAAACAACAGCATCTGGAAGCTATATTGGATTAAGCAAGAACTAAAGGTTAAAATTTCTGGCTAAAATTTTTTTGTATGATATTGCTAGTATTGCCAACATTGGGAAGGCAATTTCTTGAATATTTCTCCCCTTATATACTACTGAAATGTATTTGTTATTACTTCAAGTTATAATTACCATTAATAGATTAAATTACATTCACTTGTCTTTTGGCTAACCAGGAAATCTGACAAAAGGCAAATCTCTGCGAGAAATCCATTAAAAACTAAAATGTGTATTACCCTCTAAAAAACTTAGCTGGTCCATCTTTACTGATGAACATTAGGAAGATATGAAAATAGTTATAGGGTAATGAGATATGGCAACATGCAGTGCTACGGTATTACAAAGCACAGGATTCCTAACTTTGCCTGGGGGTGCTGGGAATTTCACGTAGGAGCTGACCTTTGAGAAGCCTCAAGGATATGAGAAAGAACTTACTAGACAGACAAAGGCATTCCAAGTAGCAGAAAGCATGCTCCAAGAGGGAAGAGAAGAACAGTGTGGGGAGTGTTGGTAACTTTGATATCCACAAAGGAAGAGGGATAAGAAATATACATGGCCAAATAATTTTGGGCCACATTATTATTAAGATAATGCTATGATTTTAGACTTTATTCTGAAGCACTAACCTAAATTTTAAGCAAAGGGATAGCTTTTGAGTTTTAGAACTGATATAGTCCTATGATGGCCCAGAGCAGCCAGAGTCTAGAGACTGGAAGATGAGTTGGGAATCTGCACTAATTCAGATGAGAGGTGATATGGGTCTTCTTTAGAGCAGTGGGTTAGGATATGACAGATTGGATGTGTTACCTAGCTATCAAGCAAACTGGAACTGATGAAACATGTTAACCAATTAGTATGAAGAAAGAGGAAAGCTCAAAGCTATCTGGAAATTCTGAGAGAGAAAAGGGGCAATCTGTCATAATCATAGTAATTAGATCCAGAAGACGAATTTTTCAACTAGTTAAATTAGGTCAAATTTGTACAGAAAGTTTCTGAAATAAGCTAAAACAGAGCATTAAAGTATAGGATGAGTTACTGAGGATAACCAATAACGTACACATAAAATTAATGTAGATACGTATGTTTTAGGATAATTCCAACAAAACAGATCTGTGGATAAGTACACAAAGTACTAGTAAGAATAAAGCACACAACACAAGATTAAAAATAGTACATAGATTATAAAAATTTACTTAAAATTTTGTGGGTTTTTCTGAGACCGAGTCTCATCCTGTCACCCAGGCTGGAGTGCAGTGGCATGATCTTGGCTCACTGCAATCTCCGCCTCCTGGGTTCAAGTGATTCTTCTGCTGTATTTTTAATTGACTTGGTGTTTTACAGTCATTAGTGAATGATTGATCCATTCAATAAACATCTACATTGCCACATCCATGTGCCTGGCATTTTGTCTGATATTGGGAATAAAAGATAATATGGTGTGATCCCTGAACTTGAGGAGTCTACAGTATAATAAAGAACACAAATATGCGTATAAATATTTTTAGCAAGATACTATAATAAAGATGTAGGGACAAAGTAACCCAGGATTAGGGTTACCAACTCATCGCAGTTTGCCTGGGACTTTGTTAGTATGGGAAGTCCTGTAACCAGGAAAACCTTTCAGTCCAAGGCAAATCTAGGATGGTTGGTCATGCTACCCAGCATCACATAAGACATTTTTTAATGTAGGTGATGGCAGTGGGATGCAGATTTGCTTTCTGCCCTCCTCCCCAAGAGGGACATATTTTAGATTATGTGTTTGGAAAGAGAAAAGGGAAAAGAGATAAGGAAGCTAAAGTTCATTTTAGGCCAAAGGAAAAACCCTAAGCAAATACTTGGACATGTGGTTGTACATCACTGGGTGTTGCTGGAATACATGATCCTTATATTGCATTTATAAATAATTGTTTTATATTTGTTTACAAACAGTCCAAAGCAGCCAGTCTACTAAGCCAATTTTTTTGGGAAAAGGGCTGCTGCCAACTAACAGAAACTTAGGTAAAACAAAACCCACAAGACACATGAAGGCTTCTTCAAATCTTAGAAAACTGTAATGGGTGAGATCCTTCAAATCTTAGAAAACGATAATATCTTTAATATTCACAATGGAAGAAGTTTGTTTTTTAAAGAAATACAGTTAGATGATTGTCTCAAAGGGAAAGACTATGAAATGGGAACAGCTTGGGACAGAATGAAAATATTATGTATATTACTTTTAAATGGTAGTTTAGAGAAGAAGAATAAGAGATAACAGTGTGGAACACAGGTAGAAATGGAAGGGAGAAAAAACAACACAAGCTGAAGAAAATAAAAATAGGTCTGGGCAATGTGGGTGGCAAGAGGAGCCCGTATTTTGGACCAGGGTGAGTTGAAGAGGTAAGACAGTCAACTTTTCTCACAGCATTCTTTTAAATAACATCTGAGTATACTCTGGAAAAGACAGAACAAAAAAACCAATGAAATGGCCCGTGGTAGTCCCAAGGTGAAAAAAAATAAAAATAATAAAGAGAAACTAAAGTTTTGATATTACTGTAAAATAGACCATATTTTTTCTTTTCAATTTTTGTACTAACTCGGGATATTTTATTTGTATGTACCAACTGATGTTTTCTAAATTCAAACTTCTTTTTATTGAAAGCATCAGTAGAGGTAGCATGTAGAGCATATCTAGTTCTTTGAGTTGCCCTGCTTGAAGGACTGCCACCTCTGTGTCTCTGTGGCTCTAACCAGGCAGCTCTGACTGCCTAGGGCATCAGCCTGAGAGGAAGGCAGTGGGGTTTAGAAGAATTGAAACACAGCTCTAGGACTTCCCCTGCCATTCAAACTCTTTTTAGTTAACACAGGTAGTAATATACACCACCGGTTAGTCAAACAGTTCCCATCTCTTTCTTTTCTTCTTCCTCTCCTCCCTCCCTGCTTCCCTTTCTTCCTTTTCTCCCTCACTCTTCTTTCCATCCAATATTTGTTGAGTACCAGCTAAGCTAGATATCCTTCTAAATTCTGGAAACACAGCAGTGAAGGGCAACATTTCTGGTCACTTGAAGCTTCAGTTCTACGATTTGTAGTTTTTTTGTTTTGTTTCACAAGCGCTACACAAACCCCAAAAATCATTAAAAAAAAGCCAAACCCCAAAAACCCAACTACACCGAAAACAGGATAAAAGGACAGAGAGCAAGAAGTGGTGCTACTCCATGTAGGCCAGTGGGGGAAGGGCGCTCTAAGGAAGAAGTAGCACTGGAGCAAAGGTTCAAAAGAAAATGATGCAGCAGCCAGATGGACCTTTGGGAGGAGCGTATTTCAGGAAGTGGAAACAGCAAACAAAAAGGCTCAAGGCTGTAGTTGGCTTGGATGGTTGCCTACCTAGTTTCTATTGTCCCTTTCTTCTTTACTATTAGAATTCTGATACTATTCTACAGGGCATTAGATTTGGCTAAAAACATTTTCCACCTTCTTTTGCAGCCATAAAGGTGATACTACTGAGGGTTTTTTTTTTTTAATAAAAAGATGATTTGTTGGTTGACAAGCCCTTTAGCCCAGCTCTGCACCCACCTTCCCCATCTGGGCCCTGGAACAATAATGCCCAGCACTGCAATAGTCATCTTGGACCATGAGGTAATGCTCAGGCAAGTCAGGGTAATGATGTGGAACAAAAAGAGAGAAGGCTCTGGTTTCTTGATGATACGGTGCAACCCCCATGCCAGTCCCTACACGGTGTACTTTTAGATTTCTTTTACAGAAGAGAAAATAAAAAGCCATGCTTTTTTAGCCTAAAATTTTCAGGGATATCTCTGTCACTTTCAATGAAAGCATTTCTAAACTCTTTGGAGGCTAGGGATGGAAACAAAGAGATGAATTATGACAATGCTGTAATAATCAATGTGGAAAATGGCAATGGCTTAGACCAGGGTGGCAGTAACAGTGATGGTAAAAAGTGATGGCATTCTAGGTATACTTTGAATAGCACTAGCAAAGGTTTGCTGATAGACTAGAGGTGATATATGAGAGAAAGATGAGACAAAGGTTATCTGTGAGGTCTGGGCTGGCATAACAATGAGCAGTGACGCCAGTCAGGTGAGAGGTGGGGATGGAGCAAACTTAGAGGGAAGAAAAGATCAGGTGCTCTATTTTGGACATTATAAGCTTGAGATACTACTAGACATCTGAGTGGGAATGCAAAGAGGTGGAAGTGTACATGAGTAAAACCTGCAGATAAATGTTTAGGACATATCAGCACATACATGGGATATAAAGCCATGTGCCTGGACAAAGTCACCTACGGTGAGAATATATAAAAAGAAAAGAGGTTTGGGAACTGAGGCTAGGGTGTTCTGATATTTAAAGGTCATAAAGAGAAGAGAGCTCGGACAAAGTAGACCGAGACAGTGGGCAATGGGGCAAAAGAAGAACCAAGTGAGTTTAGGATCTCAGAGACAAATGAAGAAAGTCTTTCATTGCGGATGAGGATAAACTGTGCCAAATATGATGACAGACAGGTCAAGTCGGCAGAGAACTGAGAACTGAATCTGATCTGGCAATATGGGCGTCACACTGCAGAAGCGACTTCCCTGGAGTGCAGTAGTGGATGAAACAAAATGAAGACAGCATGTTTCAAAATCCTTTAGAGAAAATTTGTTGTCGAGAAGAACTGAGGAAGGGCACAGTAATTGGGAGGGGGCGAGAGTTAAGAGTTGATTTTTACTGACTGATTTATTTAGAGCAGGAAAATGTCATAGCACAGTTATATGCTGATTAGAAAAAAATAATTCAAGAGAGAAAACCATAGGAATCAAGCCTTTTGGTAGGTGAGAAGCTGGCCACAGGTGGGATCATAGGCCTGGGGAAGACAAAGACTGAGGAATGGGTAAATTTGCTGACAAAGAATGGAGTTCTCTTGCAGGTACAAGTATTCTCTTAGTGAAGTAGGTGGCAAGGCTTTTAATTGTGGACAAGAAATGGGACAAGGGTGTTGGAAGTTTGCGGGGACAGGAGAAAGTGGGGAAAGGAGTTAGAATCAATGAATTCATTATTGGAATACAGTAGGATTGCCAGGTTTGTGCTCATAATTTAAAATGAAACCAGGCAACAGTGTTGCATTTTCCTCACAGCCATTTCAGCTACTGAAGCCCATGTGTGGAATAAGCAGGCAGTCTGATTCAACTAGGGATGGAGTCTACTGCACCTCCCTTTCTCCTTTTTCTTGCGTTTTTCACCAAACGGAAGAAAAAGGAGAAAGGGAGGTGACTGCGTTGAAAAAATAAAATCAGTGGGTATTTACCTGGCTTACGTTCTAAAAGCTGCTGTAAACGGAACACTGCTTGTTCGTAGTCTTGTTTTCTGAACATGAGATCAGCCATCATCTACAAAGATAAAAGTTGGTTCTAAAAACACTGCCATGTTTTTTACACAACATATTCTTTCAATCAAGATTTAGCACTAGAAAAATATAGATGATAAACATGAGGAGGGGACAGCACTGTTTAAAAAGAAGGCATTAAGGTTCAAGCCCAACTTGAGCAGAATGCCTTGGATCAGTGTAACAGAAGATAATCAAGGATGTGAAGCAGATTGCTCTGCTTGCTGAATTGTATTTTTAGCAAAAAATATATTCCTAGCAGTTGCTTTCAACACAGAAATTTGAAAGCAATTGCACACTCTACATGCTACTGTGGAAAAGATACCTCACTGGACCTGACTAAAATGATAATGAGAAGACTCAAAAACAAAACAAAATTTAAATCATAAATAATTTGAAAAATTAAAAATGAGCAAAACTACTGAGATTTTTCTTACATGTTTTAAAACGCAGACTTCATATATTTCTTTTTAACCACAATAACTTTGAATAAACCTCACAAAATGTCATCCATGTAGCTGTTTGCAAAAGTGACAAATATTTTAGTCCACGTAAAAGTAAGAAAAACAAAATTCTCATCAAAACAGACCATCTTAGACTGATACATGAAGTTTTTTTTTCCCCCTGTAACTCCAAAAATTCCAACCAAACTCTTAAATTCATCCAGCAGCTAACCAAGCATCCCCTTAGGCATAAATAAAAATTAACTAGACCCAAAAGGGCGTGTAAAAGCCCGATATAGCTTTATCTTTCTTATAAATAAAATCCTAATGATTCTGGGTCTTTACTGGTAAAATACACTAATGTTAGAAAAATGTTATTTCTTTCAAAACCCAACATGAGCCATGCCTCATCCTCTAGTAGTAGTTCTGTGGGGTAAAATTTAAAATTTATAAAACACAACAGCTTTTACTGTACTGAAGTTCCTTGGACTGACCGCGGTGGCAGCTTCATTATCCTGGTCACTCTGAAGCAGCATAGCACATTGCCGCAGGCAGCTATCAGGGTCATCTTGTGCCAGGTATAATTGTGCCAGTTCTAGCATAATCTGTAGAGCAAAAGACTAGACTTGTCAGATACTATATAGAATTAAAAGTGAATGAGGAAAATATGTGGATACAGATTAAACTTTAGTTGACAAGTCACTGCAATAAAAATGTCAAGTGTAATAGACAAAACACACACACACACACACACACACAAACTATAGGTATGCCCATCTGTATTTTCTCTTACACTAGAAAAAAACAAAACAAAACAGAAAAACAGGTAGCAACTCACTTCAAAAGTAGAGAAGACATAATGCATTGTGAAAAGAACACTGGTCTTAAAACCAGGAGATGGTATTCTAGTCCCAGTTCCTCCAGGATGGGGCCAAGTCAGATCCTTTCTCTCTCTCTTAACCTGCCTTCTCATTTGTAAAATAAAAAGCTTCAAGCAGATAATCTCTAAGGTATGCCTCAGATTTAAAAGTAGGATTCCAACTCCTTTAGCAACCACTGAAAAAGGTATCTGTTTGGTTATGCCTTGCTAAAGGTTGTTTGTGCCCTTTATCTGAAAAAATTATATTAATAAAAATTATTCAAACTAGTCATTAAATTCTAGAGTATAGCTGCCTTTTGTATAGCATCACTTACTTAAGTGTTCGTCCATTAATTATTTTCAAAAATTAATCATCTCTCCAGATCTTCTCAAATCTTGACAGAGTAAAAGCATTTTAGTTTTAACATAGCCAGTCATGTATGTAAAGGCACTACACCAAAATTATCTTTACATTTATTCTCCCACTGTGCCATATGAGGTCGTAGATTCAGTCTAGCCATTTTTGCATCCTAATACTAAACACCAATTGAAATACAGAGTGTACAACAGCTGTTTAATACAAGCAACTGAATTGGCTAAATGCAGATATTTGTGATTGAGAAATTATTTTATTTTACAATTATTTATTTTGATAAATTGACAATTATTTAAATTATTTTGATAATCAAAAACATAAATATTTAAAATAATTTTTCAGGTTGCTTATATTACTTGTTCCATTACAATTTTTAAACTCTAATGTTCTTTTTTTCTTTTCTTTTTTATTTTTGAGACAGGGTCTTGCTTTGTTCCCCAGGCTGGAGTATAGCGGCACCATCATGTTTCACTGCAGCCTTGCTTGACCTTCTGGGCTCAGGTGATCCTCAGCTCCGTGAGGAGCTGGAACTACAGGTACATGGCACCATGCCTGGTTTTTTGTATTTTTTAGTAGAGTGGGGTTTTGCCATGCTTCCTCAGCTGGTCTTGAACTTCTAAACTCAAGTGATCTGCCTACCTTGCCCTCTCAAAGTGCTGGGACTACAGGCATGAGCCTCTGCATCCGGCCTTAAACTCTAATATTCTTAAAGTAGGCATCATGTAAGATTTTGAAAGTTTTAGAGGAATAATAATCTTTTAACTTGTATTTTTGTTATATTTCTTTTAAAATCTTCTTTTTATTTTTTAATTTAATTTTATTTTTTGAGATGGAGTCTCATTCTGTTGCCCACACTGAAGTGCAGTGGCACAATCTCAGCTCACTGCAACCATCACCTCCCAGGTTCAAGCGATTCTCCTGCCTCAGCCTCCCAAGTAGTGGATTACAGGTACCCACCACCATGCCCAGCTAATTTTTGCATTTTTAGTAAAGATGGGGCTTCACCATGTTGGTCAGGCTGGTCTCAAACTCCTCGGGATCCATCCGCCTCGGCCTCCCAAAGTGCTGGTATTACAGGCATGAGCCACCATAGTCAGCCTAAAACTTCTTATTAAATAAACTGGTAACTTTTACATCTGAGGAAATTAGAGGACATCTGGAATAAAGGTACTTAAAATTTTATAAAGGTACTGACCTTATTATCTGTTTCACAATGAACCAGGGCCTCTCTATAAAACTTAATGGCTTTTTCATAGTCTCGCTGAGCAACAGAATATTTTGCAATCTCTGCACAAATTTCAGCTGCTAAATGTTTCTGTGCAGGAACTGCATCTGGCTGTTCCATCCGAACACGTTTTAGTACCCGAGCTTGTAATTCTTGAGCCTAGAAAAAAAATAAGGATAAAGGAAATTTAAAAAAAAAGAATAAAGAAAGGAAATTAAATTCTCCATAACTCACATATAGCATAATTTTACAGATTTATTTAAACATTATGAACCCTTGATCTAACAAAGCCTGATCCAAGGAAAACATCTTATTGAGATATCAAGAATGCACTTGTTTGCAAATGAGCCAGCATGCATATATCTTTCCAACAAAACACTATGAAATTACTGAGCCTTTTCCCGCTGTTACAAGTATGTATATAAGAAGTTCACTAAGGAAGAAATACGACTGTGAAACAAGCAAACGGAGGTGGGGCCTTCCCTGGGTAAGAATGTAGAGTAGTTTGTTAAATTGGAGGAATATCAGCCTTTCTACCAATCTATCTGAATACTGGAACATTGAGATCATTGAGATCTTCCTTTAATAAACGGTAAAAACTCCCATGTTTTAGGTCTTCAAGAATAAAATTTATGTTTGAGCTATGCATAATCATTTGCTAATGAATGCATTCATTTAACAAATAGTAAATGCATACCATGTGCCATATATTATGCTACACACAGGGTGCCCTTCTGGGGACTCCTGTCAAAATGTTAGCTAACAATTGCTCTGAAACAGGTTTTGTTTTATTTTCTCAAACCAGAGGTTTAGAGAGTCATACAGCATTCCTTTGCAAATGAAAGAAAAATATGAGTGTATATAGCATGTGGTTAAGTTTAATAATGTTTCATGAAATTTTTATTTTAGTTATATTAATATGTGTTTAAGTATGACAGTATACGTACATTTGTGTGTTTTGGGTTATACATATGCATACATCTGTACACGTTTTTACTCAGATATATACATATACACATACTCATGCATGTGGCTTCTAGTAAAAAACCTGAAAACAATTGGTTTAGACAGGATGATCTCATCTTGCAGGAAGGTGTCCTGGCATCCCTGAATTACTGTACCTCTACACATCAAGATGTCTTCCTTTGACATCACTTAGCCATTAGGAAAGTAGAAGGCAGGGAAAGACCCAGGGACCCATCTCTAGCACCTCAGGGGTAAGGGTACTATGCCAAGGACAGAAGTTTCCAGGCAGCTGCCTCCTAGCATTTTGTTAGGGAAGTCCCATCATTTATGGCCGTATACTGCTTTACATCCTGAACTTTAAATTCCAAGTGTAGGCAGGAAAGTGAAAATGAAAGAGAAAGAGGAACAAATATAGACAACAAAGGCCCCTGGCAAACTGCCCCCAGAGGACAGTTGTACCTTTTCCAAAAAAGTAAGTGGAAAATACTGCTGCCATGGGAGTACATAATAGAAAACCGAACTCAGTCTTGGAGGTCAGGTGAGAATTAAAGAATGGCTAGTACCAGCTTGCGCCTGTAATCCCAGTATTTTGAGAGGCCAAGGCAGGCAGAACACAAGGTTAGGAGTTCAAGACCAGTCTGGCCAACATAGTGAAACCCTGTCTCTACTAAAAATACAAAAAATTAGCTGGGTGTGATGGTGTGCGCTGTAATCCCAGCTACTCGGGAGGCTGACGTAGGATAATTGCATGAACCTGGGAGGCAGAGGTTGCTGTGAGCCAAGATCGTGCCATTGCATTTCAGCCTGGGTGATAAAGCGAGACTCCATCTCAAAAAAAAAAAAAAAAAAAAGAATGGCTAGTAGTTATACCCTGGTGAGTTGGGGAGAAAGAAATAGGATGAAAAGATGGAATGGCTCATAGGCATTAGGAAGCACATGTGAAGGAAAGAGAATAAGGGATATATTGCTTGATCAAATAATTAGAAGAAAAAATGGTTGAAAAGATATAAGAATGTACAACAGGTAAGCCTGTAAAATAATCTACATTTTATCCTAGAGGCCATAGGAAGCTACTATACCACGTTTATAAGAATTGGCCTGACAGGATCAGGTTTATCTTTGGGAACCATCATCCTGATGTCACTGTGAAGAACTGACTAGAAAAAAATGAGACTAGAAGAGGATGGAATCAGTCAGGAGGCTACTGCAGGAATAAGCAAGAAATAACGATGGAGTAGGCTCTAAGATGACAGAGAGGGCTACTGAAATGCAGAGTTACTGGAAAAGTCTGAAATGTTTAGAAAGCAAAATTCCTAAGACTTGAGATTTCCCTAAATTTACCATTTCGGTCACTGCCAAAAACATTTAGCAACTTTGCAGAAACACTATGATGGAACCCCTAAGTTACATAATGCGGAGAATTAAGTCAATAAATGGTTGCTGAATAACTGAACATAAAATATCAAAAACTTTGATTCCATTTGTAAGTTCCTGTTTTCATTGCATCTTAAGATTTGTCTCTTTAAGAATATGCAGGATGTTATCATCAGGAAGAATGTTACAGTTCTTCAAACCTTATTAAAAATGAATAATCCCTGTGCTATAACATATAAACTTAAAACTGATTACAGTTTAAGGTGCTGGTATTGTCTAGCCATGGCATGCTGTTTTTTGGTGTTGCTTCGTATATCTGCTTTTATAACACAGGGGCTCATGCAATCATGGTGACTGGGATTAATGATACTCATAAAGAAGTGAAGTAAGCTTAATTTATTTCTAAAATATTTTAAAAGTCTACATTTACCAAAGATTACACTTTCCTTGTAGCTACTGGTAGCTAACCTAGGGCTGGTGCAATTATCTATCATGTGATTCAGAAAATAAAGGCTAAAAGGTACCAACAATTAAGGATAAGACATTCATATTGTTTAAGATTACATATTTTAATGATATCAAAAACTGACACGGATATCACAGAAATTTAATAATCCAAGCTCAATTCATTCACAACTAGAACAAAAAAATTTTGGGACATTCTACTGAAACTTGTGTGAGCATGCACACACACATGCACATGTGCACACACATACACACACACACACACCTGTCAGTTACACACACCTGTCAGTTAAATCTCAAAACCAAAACACTATAAATAATTTGCAGAATCCACAAGTCTTCTGGGTGCATGAAAATCAAGTGACTAGTACAGTATCCTGGAAAGTACAAAGGGTTAGGACTGAGATATCTGAATTCCACTTCAAACTTTTCTAATAATCAGCTGTATAATCTTGGACAAATACTCTTTGTGGGAAAATGAACATAGTCATATGTAAACTATTTGCTTACCTCAGAGCCCTGTTGCTTCCAACATATCACAGGAGCTCACAGACACAGAACAAATAGAATGAGATAAAAATAATGAAGGTCTTTTTTAAAAAAATAGAAAGTATTAAGAAGGCAAGTGATGATTAAGATGCAAATACAATTTCACTTTTATATCTAGAAACTAGACAACTGCAAAACAAACCAATATTATGGATCTTATCTGGGGAACATTTAGTGCCTCCAGGGAACTTGGGAAGTGAGATTATCCCTCTCAGAATTAAGCTGTAAAATAATCACATAATGGATCAGGCAGACAGGCAAAATTGTTTAAATGAGATGGAGAACCTAGAAGATTTCTTTAAAAATCTTCCAGTTTCTGACACTGAAAATATATCACATCCTGTTCCCTATAAACAAAGTTTCAAGCTACTAATTTAAAATGCATGATAATAATGGAAAAGGCAAAGGTAGAGTAGAATTTGAATAAGAAGACATGTGTAGCTAACACTGAAAAATAATAAAAGGAGGTTTAAATAACACAATAATAAAGCGAAAATGGAATAAGAATAATGTAACTAATTCAGATAAAAGTCAAAAAAACTCAGAAACAAAATATATTGTAATATGGCAAATATAAATCTAAACATAATTCATAATCATATTAAATGTTAACAAAATAAAATACATTAAGATTGTCAGAGTAAATAATATGCTGACAGATCATCAACATAAGGACATGGAAAACTGAAAGTAAAAGAATGCAGGAGACACATCATGCAAATACTAAAAGGAAGTTGGAGTTAGCTATATTAATAGAAGACAAAGGAGATTTTAAACCAAGAACCATTACTAGAAATAAAGAAGGCCATTTTATTATTATAAAGAACTTAATCACCAGGAAGCTATTGCAATTCCAAATCTGGATCATTCAATAATGTATCTTCTAAACAAATGAAGGAAAAATACACAGAATTAAATGGAAAAAGAGAAACACTGAAAGACTTCAACATTCCTCTCCTAATAGCAAATTACACAAATAGACCAAAACCAAGCAAACAAATAAATAACAGCCAAACCCTAAGAACAAGGAAGATGCAGAAAAATCAATCAACAAATCTGACCTGACATACAGTTGAACTAAGTATTTATTAGATTGGGGCAAGAGTAATTGTGGTTATAGTAATGCTAGAAACGCACTTTTCAAGTCCACGTGGAACCTTTACCAAAATTGATTATAATGTAGGATATAAAGCAAGCTTCAACAAATTTCAAAGAACTGAATCATTCAAAGTATGTCTTGGCACAGCGGAAGTGTGCTAGAAATCAAAATCAGAAAGATAGCAAGCAAATCAGAACTCCTTAAAAATTGAAATACTACACTTTTAAATAACCCATGGGTCAAAGAAGCAATCAAAGTGAAAATGAGGAAATGTTTTACACTAAATAATAATAAACTTGTGGAATGCTCATAAACCAGTGTCAAGAGAGAAAAATTTATTGCTTCAAGTTAATAAAAAAAGAACAAAAGCTTGAAATCCATTACTAACATACTATCTCAAGAGGCTAAAAAAAAAAACCTAGTACACCAAACCCAAAAAAAGTAGAAGAAATTAATTATGAGGTTAAAACATTTAATGAAGCCAGAAAAGGAAAAAGCTGACTCATTGAAAATATTAGTAAGATAATAAACCCCTAGCATAATTGATTATTAAAGAATAAAAATAGAATTACTACCATCAGGTTTATAAATGAGGACCCTTTTCACTACATTTATAGACATTCAAAACTAAAGATACAATTAAGTTTATGTTAATAAATTTAGCAATAAACTACTTAAAAAAATCTAAATTGATATAAGAATCAATTTGAAAATGATCAGTCTGAAATCTATTAAAGATTTCATAGATAAAAACCTTCCTTCAAAGAAGTCTCAAGGTCTGCAACCCTGAATTGTTCCAAACATTTAAGAATTAGCAGCTGTGCATGGTGGCTCATGTCTGTAATCCCAGCACTTTGGGAGGCCAATAGGGATAGATCACTAGAAGTCAGGAGTTCGAGACCACCCTGACCAACATGGTGAAACCCAGTCACTGCAAAAAATACTAAATATCCAAAAATTAGCTGGGCATGGTGGTGAGTGCCTGTAATCTCAGCTACTTGGGAAGCTGAGGCAAAAGAATCACTTGAACCTGGCAGGCAGAGATTGCAGTGAGCTGAGATTGCACAACTCAGAGTGAAACTCCATCTCAAAAAAAAAGAAAAAATAAATAAATTAGCATCAACTTGCTGAACACAGATGTAGAAATCCTGAACAAAATATTATAAAATTCCAGTAATATCTTTTTAAATATTATATCAAAGTGACATTTATTTCAGGGATGTAAGTGTGGTTTAACATTTGAAAATAAATCAATTAAATATACCACATTTAAAAAGAAAAACAAGAGGAAAGACATACAATCATCTTGATAGATACAGAGAGTACATTTGATAATATTTAAGTCACTTATAAAGAAGTTGTTAGAAACCAGAAACTGAAACATCATTAAAAAAAAATCAACCACTTGGGAACACATCTAAGGAAATCTGTGTAAAACCTCTATGTTGAGGACCACAAAATATTAAGAGAAAAAAAGATCTAAATAAATGGAGGAAGAAAGCACTAAGTAAGTTCAAATCTAGACTATGACACTAGTCATATGACCTCACACAAGTTATTCAACCAAGTCTCCTCAGCTATAAAACAGGATTAAAAAACACCAACCTTTCCTAATTGTTATAATAGCAGTAATAATATATTTAAACTGGATAATCCGTAAGTATTCAACACATATTTGAATTTTGACATATTTTCTGTAGCTGTTTGGCCAAAAGAAATTGCTTTCCTCTTATATATGGCGTATTTCCTTCTGCATCCATCTCCTACCTCATGACCACACTCACAAACAAATGTGTTTACCTGTTGTAATGCAGTGATCGCATCACCAGGTCTTTCCATTTTACTATAAACTTTTGCTAGAAGAACTTGACAACGTCCATCCTCCATGAGCGCTGACAGTTCATTTACTATGAAAGAATGAAATGTAACAAAAAATATTATTCCCCTTAAATAAATGTTTAAGTTTTCCTAGAATTTTAAAAACTGGTCTCCTGAAAAAATATGATTTTGAAAAATAGTGAATAAAGTTAAAAACTTCTCAGTTAACTGAAGACTGGCCAAAAAAAAAAAAAAGATTTTAAATTAAAAACTAGCTGATTGAAAAGTTAAAGAACTGGTTAACAACTAGAGGCTTTTCTTAGACATACATAAATAATAATTAAACACCACAATAATTTCCATTTTTATTCTTAAGGGTATAAAAAATTTGTTTACTGAAGTCATTAAAAGAGTAGTTGCTATATGCAATTAAGAAGATAACTGCTCTTTTAAAAATCATAGATATTTAATAAGCAATAAAGTATAGTTACTAAGAGCACTGACTTTGATGTTAAACAGTATGGTTTCAAATCTAGGCTTTACCACTTACTAGACATTTAATCTTGAGCAAGGTACTTAACCATTCTATATTTCCCTTTCATCTATAAAATAGGAAAAACACTAGTACCTACCTCACAAGGTGGATGTAAAATTTTAAAAGCTAATAAGTTACTAAATAAGTTAAAATACACAAAGTAATGAAAACAAACTCTGGTACATGGTAGTACTATTTAATTATTTGATTAATGCCAAATATTTTGTGTCTAAGAACAATAAAAGACACTAGATAATTAACAAAAATGTTTCCTCTACCGTTTGTCAAGGGCATCATAGTTCATGACACACCATGCCGTTTTACCAACTAGGTAGACCTGGACATATCAATAAAACAGTTTCAGATTGCTAATTTTCAAATGGGTATGATTACATTTGCTTCAAAGATTAATATGAGCCCTGATGAAATAATGTATGAAATGTATCTGAAGGCCTCTAAGTATGTCATGGGTATGCTCGGCAAATATTAAATGAAAGCATTTATATTACATAAATATATCCACTGTAAATAAAACATATGATACTTGAATCTCTCTCTCCCTACAAATGTTTCAAAATGTATATCCATATTTTGGCCTTTCGAGTGTTTCAAAAGAAGATCTGACAAATCCATGCATATATTTTTATGGAGGTAGTAACACTTCATACAATAAATACATTTATAATTAGGAGAATTTAAGCACCAACTTCATCAAAGCTAAACTGAAAGACCATTTTGAAAATATCAGAAAACTTACAAAGTGCTTCTCTCATCATGTGTTCAAATGTATTTTAAAGCTACACCAAACATGGTGTTGGCAAAAGAAAAGAAACGTAACACAAGGGAATAAAACAAAGATTCCTATCATCAGAGTAATGTATATAAAGGAGTTTATTATAAAATAAAGGACACAGTTCCATAAATGGCACAAAAATAAAATTGGCTATCCATTTTGGAAACTATATAGTAAAACTTGTATGTTGAGTAAAGTACATGGATTAAACTTCTCAATATAAAAATTAAAACAACAGAAATGACAAAAATATATGGAAGTAATTTTATAATGTTAGGATTAGGGAATGTCTTTCAGAGTAACAAGAAATTCAGAAGCCAAAAAAAGTTATGACAAGAGGATATAATATATGATCATTAATTATTCTATTTGATCAAAAATACAATAAACAAATCTGATAAAGCAAAGGCAGCCTGAAAGAAAATATCTATAATATGAATATCAGTTAAAGGATTAAAGACATAGAATACAAATTAAAAGAATTCTTAGAATAAGATATACAAACAAAATGATACCTAACTTTATCACTCATCAAAGAAATGCGAATTAAACTAAGTTTACTTTTCATGACTAACGCTACATAATGTCAGGAAGTTTTTAAGGTTTTAGCCTTAAGAAAGAACAACAGAGCAAGAGTTAATCCTAGGAAGCAGAGAGAGGTATACATATATGTATATAAATAAGGATTTTATCTCAGTACTGCTTCCAACTATTCCCCAATCTAAATGTCTATTCCAATAGGAGACTCATCAAATCAATTATGATTATTAACATACAGTGGACTACTCTACATATGCTAAAAAATAAAGAAAAGCTATATTTCTATCAAGGAAAGATGTTATTAAATAAAAAATGCATACAGCAAAATATAAGTGCGCTATAATCCATTGAGACAGAAAAGTATAATAATTGTGTATGTATGAGAGAGACAAAGATCAGTAGCAGGGAGACTGATTATCATGATATACAAGTTGTTAAATATCATTTTCTCTGAATAGTGGGAGAGAATACAACTGAATACAACTTTTATTCACTGCTGTAATCTTTAAATTCTGGCAATGGGCAATCACTAGATTTTATTAAAAAATAAAGATCCTAAACAAGTAAGTTTTTACAAACTTGTAAGAAGGTAATTTGATAGTATCCAAATTTTAAATGCACAAAATCTTCAACTCAGCATCCTATTCTAAGAAATACATGCAAATTTACACTAAGGAATGATATAATGATATTCATTGTAACATGGATTACAATATCAAAAAAAAGGAAAGCAAATTAAATACCCAATAATTTCCAGAAAATAAACTAATTTATTGGCATTATGGAACAGTGATGCCTGTAGATAGAATAGTATGAATAAAAATTCCTAGAGGAAAATAAGATATAAAAACAAAATAATACCTAACCTTATCATTCATCAAAGAAATGCAAATTAAATGCACGATATACTGACATCAAACTATCTCAGACAGGAAAAGTAACACAGTTTTGCAAAGGAAAAACACATTACACGTATACACACACACATATATAGATAATATATTAAATTACAAATTACTAGGGAGATAATTTGAGAGCAAGACAAATGGAATTCATAGGAGAAACAGATGACTTACGCATTATATTCTTTTATAGTGCTAGAATTTTAAAAAAGAAATGTGCTGCTTTTTTAAAAAGTAAAGACTGCAAAAATGTTAATTTGTTTAAATATGAAGTAGTTGCAATTTAAAGATAACTTACTTTATATTATTTTGGAAAGTAAGCTATATTTCCATAACATACTTAACTGTTTCATAAATCTGCTACTATTTTAAAATGCCACATTTTAGCAGAGTGGCATTCTGATAAAAGAAAAAATATGCATGTATTTATATAACCAACCACATATAAAAATTGAGGATACAAATACATATTTATGCAATATAAAAATAAAATGGATCAGACTTATCAGACATTTTTCAAACTAGAAAGACTTTCATACCAGGTTCATGAGCCAGAGCTTGTTGAAGAACTTTTTCTGCTTTGTCATACCATTTCAATTTTAGTAAGAGCTCAGCCAGGTCATAGCAAAGATAATTCTGTCCACTTTTCAGAGCAGCTTCATAGTAACTGATCGCCTAAATGAAATCCATTTCATTTAAGGGAACAAGGCAATGAGAATGGCGTTCAAGCACAGCTATTGTACACATTATAGACTTAAAGCGTAGGTATAACTGGAAATAACCAGGAAGAATTGTAGGCATATACCTGCCTGTCAATTAAGTACGCCATGCTTCTCAGAGACTAGATCATCACAACTAACATTTCTTTCTTTTTTAGACAAAGAAGCCTCACTCTGTGGTCCAGGCTGGAGTGCAGTAGCACAATCTCACCTCACTGCAATGTCCACCTCCCAAGTTCAAGCAATTTGCTTCAGACTCCCAAGCAGCTGGGATTACAGGCGCCTGTTACCACACCCGGCTAATTTTTTTGTATTTTTAGTAGAGATGGGGTTTCACCACATTGGCCAGGCTGGTTTCAAACTCCTGAACTCAAGTGATTCACCCATACTGGCCTCCCAAAGTGTTAGGATTCTAGGTGTGAGCCACTGCACCTGGCTAACAACTAACATTTCTTACTATAAGTAGCTAAAGAACGGTACTTGGCAAAGAATTTTTTACAGGTTTTATGAGGCCAGTGAACTATCAAAGACATACATTTTGCTTGCTCTTGTACATATGGTCAACAATTACCAGGAATAGGGTAAGAATATAACAGTTAAAGAAAAATCTGTTTTCCCTACTAGAAAAAAAATAAACTCAAAGCACATAGCTTGCAAAAATTGATGCAACAGAAAGAACGTTTATCATGTTTTGTCACATAATAAAAGAGATGTAAGAATAGCAACTTTATGGTAATTGATTTGGTAGCAAGGATTTTAGATGCAAGATGAAGCCTGAAGTAAACTCTAGGGTGCAAACAATCATTACAAAAGGAAGCAATGAAGAATCTGAGATACTGAGAAAGACTTCAAAACAAATCCCAGTTCATAAACACATATTTGGAGTTTAACCATTAAAGATGCAAATGGTGCCTGCTGAAGCTTCTCGAGAACAGGGTATGATAAATCTGATGCAAGAGACATATTTCAAACCATAAAGAACTTACCTTTGAGTAGTTGTGAGTTTTGATAAATGCTTTCCCCATTTTGCTTGCCAGTGTTCCATCCTTTGGGTTCTGATTTAATGCTTGCTCATATGCTACTAGGGCTTCTTCAGGCTAATATTGCCAGACACAAAAAATAAGCAATAAAAAGCATAACTTGATCCAATTAAAGGGCAACATTTCTATAATTAAGCTCTGCATTTGGAATATTACATAAGATTAAGTGTATATTGAAGGATAGGAAGTTTAACAATTTCAAAAAGGTGATAAATAAGAAGATAGGTATGGGTAAGTATAATTCTACTCATATTAATTGTGCTCTTGTCTATATAAATAACAATATGTGAACTAGGAGATACCATCTGACTTTTCATTTCCAGAAGTCATTACAACAGCCAGTTATAGAGCATTGGAGAATTGGTTCCCTTTGAAGAAAACACCACCTTAGTCTGTAGCTCCTTTTATCCTTCTGTATAAAGAATACTCCCACCATACTTCTGGTGTCTTCTTTTTTTTTTTTAGGCAGAGTCTCACTCTTTTACCCAGACTAGAGTGCAATGGTGTGATCTTAGCTCATTATAGCCTCCACCTCTCAGGTTCTAGCAATTCTCCTGCCTCAGCCTTCCAAGTAGCTGGGATTATAGGTGCCTGCCACCACACCCGGCTAATTTTTGTATTTTCAGTGGAAACAGGGTTTTGCCATGTTGGCCAAGCTAGTCTCAAACTCCTGACCTCAGGTGACCCACCCACTTCAGCCTCCCAAAGTGCTGGGATTACAGGTGTGAGCCACTGCCCCCGGCCTCATCTCTATTTCAAATAACAATACTGCTGAATTACTGGATCTCAACTTTAAAAAAAAAATAAATTTTTAAAAATTGTAACAGCTATCTCCCTTTTATTGTGAAGACTGGATCTTCAAATATTAAACATTATTTTAAAAAACACTCCTTTTAATAGAAAGTTATACTCATCACAGATAATTTTTTAAAAATTATGGTTTAGTAAGATCAGAAATTTTACCTCTAGAATATTCAGGTATGCATCACCAAGGAGAAGAAAAGACTGAGGGTTGGGCATTCTTTCAGCAATTTCTCTGGAAATCAGACCAACTCCACTTAGTATATTGAATACAGGTATATTTTTCCAAAAATAAAATGAAATAAAAATTAGCTCGCTTATTTCAATTAGCCAGTAGCCTTCCGAATATCTCTAACATATCTAACAGAATAATATTAAAAAAAAATCTCTTGCATACCCACACCCAAACTGTTTAAGCTAGATCAGTTATTTCTGTCTTTGAATCTTCTATTTTCTGAAATGCAGGTAACCAAGTACAGGCAGATAGTAAATATCTTAAGTTCTCCTTATCTAGACCTACACATTTTGCTCTCTTTAATTTTGAAATCATGCGGGAGTGAAGGTATCAAAAAAAATGATGAGGGAATACAATTCTACTGTCCTCCTATGCATCTTGAGCTCTGATACTCATGGCACAAAGTATATGCTGAAATAAATTACCTGAAAAAACTACAAAGTCTTCTATTTCAGTATCTGTTGCTTACATTTGACCTGAAAACGTGGACTACTAAAGGTCAAATTACCAAAGGTATTGAAATAACAATGTAGTGCTAAGTCTTTGACATACAGCATTTCATCTAATTGGTCTAAAAACTGAGAAATAGTATCCCAATTTTACAGATGATGTGAAGAATTGCAGGTGCTATGCCAGATCTTCCTGAAACAAAACCTATGCTTTAAACTACTACATTATAGTACATCAAAAATAAATTAACCCTATTTGAATTATTTTCATATCATTAGAGATGACAGTGATGATCTTTTGGAAAACACCTTAGAAAATACAATCTAGGAACTCCAGTCCATCCATCTAAACATGTGGCGCTGCTCAGTTTCTCTGTATCATTCAGAACTTAAAAGAATCTCAGCAGCTTTTTGACTTTGTTATAATATAGATGAACTAAGACTGAATTACTTTGTCAACAGTTTATTCTGCTCTCAAGAGCTAAAAATGTTAACTTTCTCTTACATAGAGCATATACTTCTATGTTTACCTTTCCATCTGGGGATAAGAGGAAGAGCAATCTCTCTCTCTCTCTCTCTCTTTCTCTCTCTCTCTCTCTCTGTGTGCTTGTGTGTGTGTGTGTGTGTGTGTGTGTGTGCTGTGTATCCCAATAACTCATAAGGGCACCATTGTGATATACTTTTAAGGTCATGCTCTTTCACCAAGAAATATCTGTAATCCACACCTTAGCATGGCATATACTAAAGTAACTTTTTTGGGTTTTTTTTTTTTTGCTTCAATTACTATACTGAGTAATAAATATGCCTGCTTATCCCCTGGATTACTGTTACATTACATGATGCTCTTAAGTTCTCTTTCCCTTCTCAAACACAAAGATCTAGGGTCTAAAAATAATATTTGATAGAGAGCTGATAAACTATAGTAAACCAGTTTGAAGAAATCATAATGATGTTTTAGGGAGAGCAAATAACTTGGTTAGAGTGACTATGGTTTGTGGTAGAAGGAAGCAAGATCACATTAAGATAAAGATCTGTAAAGTATCTGCAAAGCAGTTGAAAGAAAGTTAAAAAAAAAGGAAATTAATCTGAGTGGCTAAAAGTGTCAAAATTTAATGGGTTGAGACAATTACTTACCTATAACAAGTGATATATAACATCTTATCTTTTCTGTGCTTCAGATAAATATCTGCCATTTTTTCTCTGGCCTCTATAAAATAAGGCTGTTCGGCTGTAACATTTCGAAGGATGCTTAAAGCCCGCTCAGTATCTTCTTGGGCCAGAGCCAGGTCTGCATTAGCAATGGTAACTCGCACTTCTTCAGATGTTCCAGAAAATTCATGGATGGCATCTTGTAAAACTTTTGCTGCCTCATGCTGTAAAGATGAAATTAAAATATCATTCTTCCAAAACAGTGAACAAATAACACTAGAAAGGGAGATTTTCTAATAACCCAGAATGAATAAATGCTAGTACAGTTATGACATTTATGAAACAAATTGATAGAATTTTCCTGAAAACCATAAAAATTTAAAACTAAACCCATGACCAAAATCAGATGAGGCTGTAAATATTGGTTAGCTAGATAAATGTTTTCACAACTAGAACAACAGCAGCTGCTACACAGGGTCACTACCACTATAATTTAATGAGCACTTACTTGCCCCCTGCATTGCATAATGAATAGCTAGTACACAGTGGCTCTTCATTAAGTGGCAGATTACTTTATTCCCTCCACCATAACAACATTGTTTTTATACTTTAGGTTAATCTACCTCATTTCCAAATGTGTACCTTGATGAATCTAAAATGTCATTTAAGATTCATGTCAACTTTAGAGATTATAAGAATTTCAGAAATGTTAAAATGTAAAAAAAAAAAATGTACTTAGAATCAACTCGATAGGGTATAATTGGTCTTACTTGTTAAATGTACTTTAAGTTAATTAGTAAAATAGAAATTCTCTCAGGCCTGTAATCCCAGCACTTGAGAGGCTGAGGTGGGTGGATCGCTTAAACCCAGGAGTTTGAGACCATCTTGCATCACACAGAGAGACTCTCTATAAAATATTTTAAAAACTAGCTGGGCATGGCCCAGCTAACTGAGAGGCTGAGGTGGGAAAATCCCTTGAGCCCAGGAGTTTGAGGTTGCAGTGAGCTATGACTGTACCACTGCACTCCAGCCAAAGACACAGAGTGAGACCTTATTGCTAAAAAATACAACAAATACATGGAAATTCTTTGTGATTTGGCAAATATTTAGAAATACGCCCTTCTTAACTTTCATTAAAATATGAAAAATAAGTGATTAGCAAATGCTGCAACCTAACACAACTAATATAAATGACTTAAAGTTCTTCATTTTCAACAAGGTTTTAATTCTCCCAGAATTACTTTCTATCTAATCTGTATATATTATGATTTTTTAAAATATCTGACTTCATAATATTCCTATGAGTTCACCAAGCTTTATTTATCAAGTATTTATTTTGTTTCCTCAACTACTAGAATTTCAGGTTGGTACTTTCTTTTAATTTCAGTAGTTCTGGAGTGTGCATGAATGTGTGTTTGTGTATATGTGTGCAGATCCTTTTAGGGATTCATAGAACTATAACTGCATTACGTTATTACTTTCATGGTAACCAAGAGAGTTGTACATCATGTCGTATGTTCCATTGTAGCCAACATGAGTACACTGATACTTAGGGTCACCTAGGAGCAAATTATGCTTAACTTTCAGGGGCTTACAGGAAGTATATGTTTTAGTGAAAGGTAATGAAAAATAAATTTTTCTAAAGTTTATCACTTGGTTAAGCGAATATATTTTGCTTTTCATTTGCTACTATATATATTCATCTGACATATATGTGTCAGAATAAGAAAGCTCAGATCTGAGTCCTTGAATTAAAACTTGACCTACCTGCTCTCCATTTAAGCGGTGAACTTCTATCAGTTCAAGAAAGATTGATAAACAATGGCTTGTATCAACTTGGGTTTTTCTGTCTTTTGATTTTGCAGACGCTCCAATTCTTTTCACTCCTGGTAAACTCATTGCCATATGCAGTGTTTTAATTGCATCTGCTATTTCACCCATTTTCTTTTGTGACTGAGCTTTTATCAAATGATATAAAGGATATTCTCTCACCTGAAAAATAATATTTAGTAATATTTCCTTGGGGTACCTACAACATCAACACATAATTTGCAATCCATCAAACATTAAAATAATGAGACCACTGAGAACAGCCCATCTTTATATGCATGAGGTCCGTCTCTGTCCTCTTATTAACCCTCTGATAATTTATCACATTAAATGGGATTCAAAAAAATTGCTTCTCCCTGCATCCTCTGAGATGACAAAGAGGTTGATTATGTATTTCTGCTATAACAGAAGAGAAAGTGCAAACAAGGTTTGTACGGCTAGCAAATACATTCTAAGAAATTATTTGAATTTTCAGGAAAGGAATTTCTTTATCTGGTACTTCTAGGACTGATAAAATTATTAGATTTCTAGAAACAGAGGTTTTCCCCTTTATTTTTTTAATTTTAAGATTAAGAGCTTTAGGACACTTTAATCAAACATTGACTTCCCCATTTGACACTACTCTTAAATATGTAGTCCTGAAGCTGTCATCTTTACACTGGCTATCAACAGTATATATAGAAAACATAAGGGAATGATAAAATGAGTTGGGAAAAAGAAGTCAAAGGGAAGATGATGATTCAGAATGAGGTGATGTGGCAGCTATCATCTTTCTGATGCTGAGGTTCTCAACCTTAGACAGCCTGCACATTTGCTTACAGAGCTTCATGTGAGACTCACCGTTATGCTCCTTCCTCAGAGATTTTGACTCAATAGAGGTGAGGCACTAGCACTGGGGCTCTGACATACCACCAGTCTTGAAAACCACTATCCTCAGAAGCAGGTGATATTTTCTGCAAATCTTAATTAGAATTCTCTAATTCAATGAAGTGTTCTCCCATAACAGGGTTCATGACCCTGTGAGGCAAAGCAAAACCTTGAGGAGTTCCTCCATGACTCGAGGTAGTTAAGGCAGCAACTGAACCTAGGATCTGCCCTAATGTTGAGGGGATACTGGATGTAACACATAATATCTTGGATAGAAATGTACTGTGTTTATATCCTTAAACCACAAAGTTACTTTCAAAATGACTAGATGTCCTTTCACAATGAATCCAAAAAGAAGTTATTAAAAACTAAGGTCCAAGAAAGAAACAGACAACATAATGATTATCTTTATGCATAAAAATATGACATAATGATATTTAATTCTCATTGTAACAGCAAAGTGTTAGTAAATGAGTTTTATAGAAAAGAAAACTGAGATTCAGAGAGAAGTAAAAGACCAGACATTAACCTCAGGATTTTTGTCACCAAGTCTGCACAGATTTTTAGCCATACCTCAGTTACCTCAATTTTTCCTACTAATGCTTGTGAATTCAATTTTTTATCCATTAAAAATGCAACTCTTAGCAAAATGCTACAGGCTAAAACACAAAATATTTGGATATGTAAGCTTTCAAGGAGGATGATATGTCTGACCCACTTCAGTCTGGAATACTTACCTTAAAATCATAGCTCAGACAAAGTTCAAGAGACTGAGAACACAATTTGATTTTTTCTTGAGACAAGTAAACCTGAGCTAGCAGCAGATGAGCATCAGCATAACAGGGATTGTGTTCTAAGCAATGCTGAAGGTTATTAAAAGCTGCTTCAATATCGCCTAGTAAAAAAAAAGTCCACTATTAATAATTCAAATGATTAAGAAAAGGAGATCTGAGAGAGAGGCGGGAGAAGAGCATTTAGTTTACGGATAGCCCTAGTGTGTAAACTTACAAGTTCAATGTTCATAGGCCATGGTTTAATTCCACCTGCACCAGTTAGCTTCCTTCTAGTCCACATGAATGAATACACCTGCAAGTCGGGCCAGTCCTTGATCTTACCGAGCAAGCCAGGGAAAGCAGGAAAGGATGAGAGCCAAACACTGGTATTACTGAGAGGCCAATAAATGAACCTAGGGTCGGGCGCGGTGGCTCAAGCGGTCAAGATATCGAGACCATCCTGGTCAACATGGTGAAACCCCGTCTCTACTAAAAATACAAAAAATTAGCTGGGCATGGTGGCGCATGCCTGTAATCCCAGCTACTCAGGAGGCTGAGGCAGGAGAATCGCCTGAACCCAGGAAGCGGAGGTTGCGGTGAGCCGAGATTGCGCCATTGCACTCCAGCCTAGGTAAAAAGAGCGAAACTCCGTCTCAAAAAAAAAAAAAAATACTAAAATAAAATAAATGAACCTTTATTTACCTTTTCAACACAAAGGTTTTATTTATAATTTCATTAAAATAATTATGTAGAACAAAGACATTTAAATAGCTAGAATGTTATAGTGTCACTTACATTAACAAAGAGTATATTAGTCTAGTAATCATTCGTGGTCAAAAATTCTATTACTACTATACTAAAATATTTAAAAATGAGAAGTGGGTCATTACTGTTGAGGAAAATAGGCAACGTTACCAGAGATCAACATGGACATCACATTCTAAGAGTAGTCCAATTTCCCTTGAGTGAAACTGAAAGACATTTCAGTCCTGTGTATTTATCTTTGTCAGAGTTCTGTGTAATAAAGCATTTGGCTTGTGTTTGTCTTGGGTTCCTGGAGGGAGCCTCTAAATCTTTTCCCTCCTGTTAGGAATATCTGTGTTATTCATTATGGGCTCTGATAGTTCATCCTAATGAGAAGACTCATGGTGTACCCCTAGATAGTTTATGCTAAAGATATAACTTGGAATGGGGATTGGCTGTGCCAGAAAGACCCACCATGTGATTAGAGGGTTTAGAGCCACACTGTCAGTCAGTGGGGTACTGGAGACTGAATTCAACCACATGGCTGATGATTTAATCCATACCTACGTAAATGAAATCCCAATAAAAGTTATGGACACCAACCTTGGTGAGCTTCTCTGGTTGCTAATACTGATTGTCACACATTGACATGTCAGGAAGGTGATGTCTCCTGACTCTCTAGGGAGAGGACAACAGAAGCTCTACATTTGAGACCCTATCAGACCTCATGCCGTGCATCTCTCCCTGCTGCTGATCTGGGTTAGTATCTTATTGCTATAAGAAAACTGTAATTTCAAATCTAGTATTTTGAGTTCTGTCATTCATTCTAGCAAATTACTGAAACTGAGGGGACCCTAAATTTGCAACCAGCTAGTCAAAAGCACAGGAGGCTCTAGGAATGCCCAAATCTGTGGCTAGTATCTGAAGTGAGGGCAGTTTTATGGAGGACTGCACCCTTAACCTGTGATGTTTGGCCCAACTTCAGCTACTTGGTGTCAAAAGTCATTGCAGTTGGCAATTTAGCAAGACTACTACTTAGACATACGCTAGCAGCAGTATTTCACATGATTTAAGCCTGCTTGTCCTTTTTCTTTTTTTTTTTTGGTTATTAGAAATTTTCTTATTTTTTATTTCAATGGGTTTTTGGGGAAGAGGTGGTGTTTGCTTACATGAATGTTATTTAGTGGTGATTTCTGAAATTCTGGTGCATTCATCACACAAGCACTGTACCCAGTGTATAGTCTTTTATCCCTCCCTTACTCTCCTCCCACCCTTTTCTCTGACTCCCTGAAGTCCACTGTATCATTCTTATATAAGGCTGTTCTTAAAAATGGGGTTAATATAAGAAATTTTCATTACTAGAGACTTTAACAATTAAGTATTTCTAGATTGTGACTTGTTCATATAAATTTTCATAACATATAATAAATACTTAATAAATTAATTACAGGAATCAAAGTCCCAGTCTAATTATTTAGTAGGTGATATCCCTTCTAATTGGGAGAAAAGTTGAAATATCACGTGGCTTAATAGTACAATTCAATCAGAAAGTATTAGTGTCACTTCTTACAACTGAAATATTTTAGAGGTACAACAAGCCTCTAGCATCAACATCTACATTTTTTTTAACAGTTAAAACAGAAGTCCATAATTTTCACAATCTATAAGGAATCCAAACTAATCATAAAGAAAAAAAAAATCCCTTTAAAAAGTGGGCAAATGACATGAATAAATGCTTCTCAAAAAAAGATACAAGCGGCCAAGAAACATTAAAAAATACTCAACATCACTGATCATGAGGGAAATGTAAATTAAAACTACAGTTAGGTACCTCCTTACCACAGCCAGAATAGCCGCTATTAAAAAGTCAAAAAAAAAAAAAAAAAGACATTGGCATGGATGTGGTGAAATGGAACACTTACACACTGCTGGTGGGAATTTAAATTAATACAATCTCTTTGGAAAGTAGCATGAAGATTTCTCAAAGAACTAAAAGTAGATTTACCATTCAATCCAGCAATCCCATTACTGGATATCTACCCAAAGGAAAAGAAGTTATTATATCGAAAAGTCACCTGCACATATATGTTTATTGCAGTACAATTCATAGTTGCAAAGATAAGGAACCAACCTAAGTGCCCATCAACCGATGAGTGGATAAAGAAATTGCAGTATATATACACCACTGAATACTGTACAGCTAGCCGGCGCGGTGGTTCACACCTGTAATCCCAGCACTTTGGGAGGCTGAGGCAGGTGATCACGAGGTCAGGAGTTCGAGACCAACCTGATCAACATGGTGAAACCTTGTTTGTACTAAAAATACAAAAATCAGCTAAGCGTGGTGGCACACACCTGTAATCCCAGCTACTCAGGAGGCTGAGGCAGGAGAATTGCTTGAACCTGGGAGGTGGAGGTTGCAGTGGGCCGAGATCGCACCATTGTACTCCAGCCTGGGTGACAGAGCAAGACTCTGTCTCCAAAAAAAAATACTACTCAGCTGTAAAAAAAAGAATGAAATAATGTGTTTTATAGCAATTTAGATGGAACTGGAGGCCATTACTCTAAATGAAGTAACTCAGGAATGGAAAACCAAATACCCTATGTCCCATCCCTATGTCCCATCCCTATGGGTATAAAGGCAGAGTGATATAGTAAACTTTGGAGACTTAGAAGAGAGAGGATGGGATGAGAGTGTGGGATAGAAAGCTTCATACTGGGTATAATGTACACTACTTAGGTGATGAATACACTAAAATTTTAGACTTTGGCACTATACAATTCATCCATGTAACCAAAAAGTGTTTGTACCCAACATAAATAAAAAATTGAAATAAAAAATAAAGAAAACAGAGGTCCAAAGAAGCAGTAAAGGCAATCTCATCACTCCATCATAATATGGGTCATAACTACTTGTGAAAATACCTTTAAGTTGGTTTCTGCTCTTACAGTTTTACAAACTTTATTTACTTTTATAGCATTCCATTGGCAAAGGTACATACAGACAAGCATGATACGATGGTCCTTTTTTTTGAAACAGGGTCTCACTCCTGTTGCCCAGGCTGCAGTGAAGTGGTGTGATTCCAGCTCACTGCAGCCTCAACCTCCCTGGGCTCAGGTGATTCTCCCATTTCAGCCTCCTGAGTAGCTGGGACTATAGGCACATGCCACCAAGCCCAGCTAATTTTGTATTTTTTTTATAGAGATGGGGTTTCGCCATTTTGCTCAGGCTTGTCATGAATTCGCAGGCTTAAGTAATCTGCTAGCTTTGGCCTCCCAAAGTGCTGGGATTACTGGTGTGAGCCACTGTGCCCAGCCATGATGGTCTATTTTTATGTGTAAAATCATGTATTTGTCTGTGTCTTAGAAAACTAAGGTTATAACTGAGTTGATTTTATTTTAAGCTATACATAACCATTAACAGAAACTAAACTGGAATTACTCAGTACTTTTCAGTAGGGCCTGAAATCTGGCAAATGTTGCACTTGGCAAATGTTGCCATTAAGAACATAACTATGGATTAATGACTGTAAATTCACATTGCCATTCTCCAGTAATTTCTGACAGACTTTTTTTTAAATGGTACAATTGCATTTTACCAGCAAGCCACAAAAGTTTATAGTAATTTTTAAAGGATTAAACAATAAGTTATGCAATTCTATTTTAAATTAGAATTACTTAACTATGCATATACAAAATGAACATTTTATGTGACTATTCTCCATATATAGAGTGCTTATTTATACTTGTTTTTATCAACATCAGAATAAAAAGGTTAAAAGTTTTTGAAGTATACTCTACCTGACAAATATTTCACTTTTGCTATGAGGAAGACAGTTTGCAGAAGACCTGGTACGGTTCTTACTACAATCTCCAGGACTGAGACACAACGCCTGAGAAGTGGACAAAGAGGTTGCCCAGGACTTGCAGGCTAAACAAAAGAAATCAGCACATCATTTTATAAGTGTAAAATAGTATTTAGCTAAAAACAAACATACATTAATTTTAGTATACCTAACAAAACTATACACATTTTTCTAAAATGCCTTTGATTTCACTTATTTCATAATACCTTTACTATGACTTAACCAGTTTATTTCCCTGGAATCTATGAACAGACAATGCAAATAAGGGCTCTGGTTCAGCAAAATAATTATGCAACTAATATACAATTACTAAATTGATAACATATCAAGTGAGTATATGTGTTCAAAAGTTTTATCAGAGAAATATATGTTAAAGGAAAGATAACTAAGAGAGTTTCTTGCTAGAACTGACAGAGTCAAGGCAGTAAAGTGTTCAAATTCTAGATCTGCCTTGTGATTTGCTCAATTCAATTACTTTCATTATCCCCTAGAGTACTGAAAAGCCTGTTGTTAAACAATTCAAATTTTCCCCCAAAGGTAAACAGAAGGTAGAACACTCACTATGCTAAACTAAATGTCTCATTTTACATTTTACATTCCCCACTCTTCTGCCTGGCGTGGTTTAGAGCGTCAAAGTTGTCCTTTCTATTAATAGTGAGTATGATAATTAAATTGATACTAGAATACTGCTTTATTCTTTTCACAGTGAAAAGAATCTTATCCTTACAATGGCTGTCTTATTAATGAAGATCTTATTCTTATAATGGCTGTCTACCAAACCAATCTTTATCCAATGGTCATCCAATCACAATTTATTAATGTGATATCAGAATTTAAATATAAAATGTTCATTCCTCCTCCTTTGCCTTACTAAGCCTGTGTCTTTATATGAGGATTATCCTCTCCACCCCTCGACCCCGACACATAAAGATCTTTAACTGGACTGTGCCCTCTTATAGAAAATCACTCCTATAATGAGCCATTATTACCAACAAGAAAGTGCTACAACTTACTTATTTTTGACACACACAATATATAAGCTCAAAAAGATAATCAGAGTATGACTACTATTGCCTAGAATACTTCAACCTCTTTAAATTCTTCACATGTAATCTACATAATAAAATTTAGCACTGTTTAATACTTATTCAGTTCTACTGGTATTTTCATATTTAGTTTTGCTTCTTTTACAGGCCTGAGGGTTTTTATGTGTCTTGAAGATCATATTTTTATGCTTCTTTGCATAGCAGCAGATACAGAACAAACAGTTTAAAAATATGTATCTTTTTTCAGCCTAAAAATAGTGTAAGTGTAAATGGTGGTGAGGTTCTGATAGTGTTCTCTGTCACCTGCTAAATATGAGTTATTGAGAACAACCATTATTTTTACTGTGAACAATTTCAATGTGCAATCATAGAAAAAATAGTTATCAGATAATCTTTAAGATATTATTTGTTTAATTAAAATTCTAAACAAAACTATGTCTATAAAAGGGTCAAGAAAGTAGGAACAGAACTGAGGAGACAATTCTGCCTTTCTGGTATTTACCTATGAAAACAATATCACACGTGCTAATCACTTTCTAACATGCTGGTAAAGGAAAACAGAATTTCCTGGTAAAGGAAAATAGGATGTCTTGTTGAACTAGAGACCCAACTACCACTTAATGCATTATTTCTTGTTCTGTCTACAGTTAATTCTCAGGACATCTTACAGAGAAATCCATTAAAACACTGAGTTAAAATGTTGACTTGGATCATGCTGGAAGCCCTCTGTTGACTCCTTGTTGTACTCAGAATTAAGCCAAAGGAGTTATAACAACCACTGTGGCCCTATGAAGACTGGTCTCCTGTGGGATAACCTCATCTCTGACTACTCTCCACCTCCTCACCCTGCCCCAGCCACATTTATCTCCCTGTGTCCCTTTGGGCTACTGAACCAGCTGCTCCCATTGTCTGAAACACTCTACGATATTTTCATATGTTCTGTGATGGTTAATGCTGTCAACTTGGTTATACTGAAGGATGTAAAGTCTTGATCCTGGCTGTTTCTGTGAGGATGAGTGTGAGGATGCTACCAAAGGATATTAACATTTGAGTCAGTGGGCTAAGAAAGGCAGACCCACCCTTAATTTGGGTGGGTATCATCTAATCAGCTGCCAGCATGGCCAGAACACAAAGCAGGCAGAAAAACATGAAAAGACTAGACTGGCTTAGTCTCCCAGCCTGCATCTTTCTCTCAGGCTGGATGCCTCCTGCCCTCAAACAGTGGATTCCAAGTTCTTCAGCTTTGGGACTCGGACTGGCTTCTTTGCTCCTCACCTTGCAGACAGCCTATTGTGGGACCTTATAATCATGTGATCTGTCCCTCTAGAGAAGCCTAAAACATGTTCCCTTTCAAGTCTTTGTTCAGATCTCATCCTCTTCATGAGGCCTATCCTGACCAATGTATCTAAAAATCACCATCACCCCATCATGTTTCATTATTTTTCTCTTGTCATTTTCTAATCATAGTATATAATTGACTTAATTATAGTATCTGTCTCCTTTTGTTGGAATATACAGCTCAGGGGAAAAAAATGTAGTTTGTTTTAAATGGGTATTTCCCCAGCTCCAAGTAGAGTGCTAGGTACTCATATAAATATTTGTAGAATGAATCCTGAATACTAGATTAATACTGAAAAAAATGTATTCCAACTTCCAAGCAAGTGTAAATGGATCATGACTGGGGAGTCTGAGGTCAATTCGAGGTACAATTCTATGAGTGTTTATTTTAAAAAATAAATAGTAATGAAAGCCTAGAAAATAATTGAAAGGCTGTTCCCAAAGGGAAGGTCATTTTCCTTATTCCCCATGTTAACACAGTTACTGAAGCTGTAGATCAGGGAGAATGCTAAGAAGTTTGCTTCTAGCAATGGAGTGTTTGATAGTGCCCACGCTGATATCCCTGTGTTGAATGTGAGCTGAATATAATAAAGTTAGGATATCTGTATCTGCTTACTATCTATAATAAGAGTGCTGGCCAATAAATCCACATCAATTTGGAAAGAACTCTCTGGTAGTGCAACATAGGGTTCCAGCTTCAGCTCTACTCAAAACTGTTAACGCTTGGAGGAGAACATTATGGTAATAGTTATCTCAGAGCCAGATAAAGCAGATGATAGACGACAGTAAGGATCCATCTAAAATAGGTAACAATCATGATTCGAAAAGAATATAATATGGATTTATGAGATGAATCTGAAAAGGTAAAATTTTCACAGTCCAAGGGTACAACAAGTAACAGACCAAAAGTTTTTGATTGATTCTTAATTCAATAGAGGTCATTAATGTAATATGATTTATAAAAAGAAAGTTGGAAGGACTTACAGAATAAGGGAGGAAAAGGTCTACTCTAGTTCTTGCAGGTCAAATCCACATTTGGAATAATGAGCTTAATGAGAGGCACAGAAAAAATAAAGCAGCCAGAATTCTCAAAACTATGTCATATAAAAAAATAAATGGCTGGAAACCTGGAGTTGTTTAGCAGAACATGAAAACTAATTGCCAATACCTGAAGATTTGTTTCATGAATGAGGAATGATCCTTGCTCTAAGCAACTAGACTTGCTCTATGTCACTTTAGAGAGCAGGAGGGAAAGTAAATGGTCCTTTTTTTTTTTTAAACACAAAGCAGAATTTGATTTAACACAGGAAACACAGGCTAACAATCATAGTTATAAGAACTTCATTTATGAGTCTCCCCAGACATGGGATAGGCACTTGATGGTGATGTTACAGACTGGATGCAAATATAAGATAGGTGCCTGAATTAGATAACTTTTAATATCTCTTTAAAGTGAAGATTTTAAGATTTTATGAAATACAAATGAATATTTGCAAACCAATACTTTCAGTAGTTGACAACAATCGTTATTAAAAATAGTCCGATTAAAAGGGATTTCAACTAACATAGATACAAATATTGCCATTTTAATATGCTTATATAGTCTAATGCATCAAAGAAAACTTTTTAAGTTCTTTCATAAAACATCATGTAAATGCATCCTTGAAAATAAGTCCCATAATTACTTACTTGCATTGGACAGAAGCTCAGATATTCCGTAACAATTTCTAACAAGAAATCAGGATTTAGCTTTTCAAAGTATTGTATGCCTAGAGGTAAACCTTCTAACTGTGAAAAATGCGTGTCCAGGACATCATTTAAAATATTAATAACTTCTTCTTGTCGCTTATTTTTCTTCATGGCAAGAACGGCACGTAAATAGATTAATTCCTAGAAAATAAGTAGTTTTAATAAATTATTCCATTTAGTTATAAAGCCATTTATTTCTGCTTAGATTTCAAATGCATTTAATGTGCTACTGATAGGCAATTATTTGTTCAAATTTAAGTATCAGCTTGAATAGATTTTAGAATCATTCAGAAGAATAGAGTTTGGTTTTATATGGAGGCAAATTAATAAACACAATTACATATTAAAATTAGTGTACACTAGTGCTTTCCAGCCATTACAAAACAGTAAGACTGATTTAAAATTTCGTATTTTATAAACAGCTAGCATCTGCCATCTGATAAAATAAAATACTGTACCGCAGATTTTCCAATGGACTGCTGAATTTCATTTAAAAATTCTAGCTGCTGATCTGCATCTTGTAATTGTCCTTCTATTAATTGACACTGGATAAATCCTGAAATCAAACAGAAGACAGACAGTTAAAGTCCACACCAATTTAGGCATGCACTCTTCAAGCTAACATAACATTAATAAAACAGGCTTAACCCCATCACAATACTTCAAAGTTTTAGATTAAAAACAACAGAAAGAAAATGAAGAGTGAAAGTAAATAAAGCGGGTAGCCTTGAACTTTATAAAATCACTTACTGAAGAATTCATAATTTATAGGAATCACCTTGTAAAAATCTATTCTCTCAAGATATTATTTGTGAATTAAAAATTTTATTTTAAAAGACATATGATTTTTTCTAGTGTGGGTAGTAGAGAACAATTTAAGTTTAGAAAACAACAAAATACATTTGTACTTCTTTAATGGCAAGTTAAAAGCAATTACTACTTGTATCTATGTTATAAATATTTAAGAAAACAGTTGTCATACCAACTAGTGCAGGCACACTAGTCTCATCAAGTGTCATGGCGGTCTTATACCACTTCAGTGCCTCTTTAACTGTTCCTTGTAAAATCATTTGGTATCCAAGTTCTGTAGCAAATTCTGACCGCTGAGGGTTTAAACTAAAAGCTCTCTCAAGTAACGTTTGAATTTTTTGAAGAATGAGTTGACTACGTCCACACTAAAAAGAAAAAATAAATTACGTATGATTTCAAAGTCAAACATTTCTACTGAGACTGAAAGATTATTTTTTCTAAATATATATATTATTTGTACTTCACAGGAGTGGCAAAAAAAGAAAAATATTAATAATTAAGGAAAAATAAAACTTTACTATTAACTATCTAGACTGCATCAAGAAAGAGTTTATATTCTATCAGAACTTATATATTCTAATAGGGTGCTTTTACAAAATAACCGGTATGAAAAGTATACTTCTTATGATGTCACTGCACAAACATAATTTTTTGAACTTCTTTTCCAAGCTGTTCCATGATTATGTTACAGATTGAACAAGAAAACCATTACTTTAAGGCTACATTTGTATGTGTGTGAGTGTGTCTATATAACATATGTATGGCTTTTTTTCTTATTGAATAATAACTAGGACTAGGATCTGTTTTCTCTCTAAACACGAGTTGTGTCACCAATGAGAATATTTTAAAAGATGGTGCCTCAGAATCTTCTTGAAAAAATTTCAAGAAATAGCAGTGTTATTAGAATAAGTAAGTAACTTTTCAAGACAAGACTTTTAAGAGTAAAATACTTATTCAAATGTTTGAACCAACTTATAATTTTTATAAACTTAGTAAAAAACTAATAAAAATAATGTGCCTAGCAATATGGTAAGCTAAAAAGGTAAATACGCTTCTTAATTCAAACTTTGATTATAGCAGGGAGTTTTCTTCCTCCAAAGTTTACGCAATCCGATATCTTTGTTTTTAAATAAGAAAAATTCAGTATATTCATGTCACTTAATAATATCCTTGATATTTTTCTTTCAACTTTATGCTTGCTTATTATTTTAACCTTCTTATGTGTATCTTTTCCCCTATTTTTTGCTAGTTTAATTACCTTTTCAATATTCTCATTTCCTATATTGATTTCAAGATTCTACTGTATTTTTCTATTTCATTCTTGATTACCTTCCTTTTACTGAGAGTTTATAATAAAAACATTTCTTTCCTAATGTCAAAAAAAAAAAAAAGATACCAACCGTTTGTTTCCTCCACCAAAATGGTCTTTTATACATTTTTAAACTTTTTTTAAAAAAGAGTTTTAAAAAATAAAAGCTAAGAGCAATCCTGGTCATAAATCTTATGCTCTAATGAAAATAAACCACCTTCTATTTCCTTTGCCTGGAAGGCGCTTCGCTACGCTTAAACGATCAATACGTGGCATTTCCTCCATGAAGCCTCCATCAAGGCTTCTTATAGTTAGAAACCACATCTCCTCTGAACTGCCATTCTTAGGAATATACCATATATTTAAATACATATTTGTACTCGAGGCCATGTGCTCTTCCCTGCCTCCACCTTTTCCACTTATTTTATGTCCTCTACTGTGGATAACAGAGCTTTGGAACATGGTAGGCGCTCTCACAGTTCTGCTGAAGGCGAGGGTAATGTTATAGAAAAGTTGAGCATTCTGTGGTTCCATGGCATCCAACGCATTTCCCAGGTTTTCTAGCTTAGTGGAAGCCTAAAACAAAAGTGACTGGTATTAATTTTAAAATACACTAAGAAAAAGCAACTTAATACATGCACGTATACACTAACAAAGTACAACACAACTAATATTTTAAAAGACATTTGCTTTTATAGATTCTTCCTCCTCCAATGGTTGATTATGCATTATACAACATATTTCAGGTTCTAACAAACTCAATAATTACAAATACATTTCAGATGTGTTTCTTTAATACTTGCTATTGAATGAAAACCTTTGAATAGGTAAAGACGCCCATTAATATTCCATTAACTGTACATGCCCAGCTCCCCCTCCAATAGTTAATTCATGCCACAAATGAGATACAAATAATAATGTATTTATGATCATATGAGATCAATCCTTGAATTGCCTATATAGACTAGTTTCTAGTCAAAATATTTTTTAGAATAGAAAAATCATTACAGTGCTTAGAGTTAGTAATTTCAATGCCTGGAAAATTTACTGAAGATTTACCCCTACTAAGATTCTCCTAGTGTTTACTGAAGCATCTATTAGGCACTGTCACATTAACCAATTCAACCACACTAAACACAATGCAAATCTACTACATGTTATACTATTTCTTTCAGATTACGGTTTAGCACTCCATGATCAAATCTACAGTCAATGTGTTTACTACTACAGAAACAGATGTACTTTATTATAAGGTACAATGGGATTTTATCCTAAGCCCATTTAACTTTTGCAAATTCAGTTAAATTGTAAATATACTATAAATTACATTTTGCATACATACTTTTTAATATCTAGTGTCACTGGTTACATTAATCATATATATTACTACACAAGAGTTTCATATAGGAAACCATATATCCTGTGATTAATGACTTAAGGGATCTTCAAGGGTAATTTTAACTGTGTAATATTTTTGCTTTACAAATAGGTTTCAGAAGCTGACCTCCTTGTTAAGGAATAGTCTAGTTATCAACTAAAAGCTACCATGATATACATTCTAAAAGAGAACTTCAAGGCTTTAATGTATATGCACATGTACACACATGTGTAAGTGTAATGAAATATACTTTTAAATATAAGACACTTAAATAATACAATGCCACTTACCTTCTCTATATCCCCCTCCCTACACACATAGTAGAGTGCCTGCATTCTCAGTGCTTCCACATTTTGGCTATCTTGGAGCAGCAACCTGCAGGAAAACATTTCAGTTAATGTTGAAACAACTTTATACATTTTCTTTTATTTGAGGGCATGAAAAGTTGGTTTGCTTGCCTCATTATTCCACTGTTCAAATAAGTAATTTTCATTGGTAAAATGTCATCTGCTTTGTGAAAATTATCAACTTTATTATTTAAACAAGAAAAAGTCTCTGGAATTTGATTTTTAATATATTTTTAAAAGATATGAATAGGTTGTACTAGTCTCATTAAATCTTGTAGCAATCCTATATAAAGTATTAGCTAACTATATATAACAGTATAGTAAAAGAATAATCACCTTAACAGGTTGATTTTTTATAGGAATTCCAGGAATGCAAACCTAAGTAGAACATTACAACACCTACTAATGTTACTCACAGCAACAGATTCCTATGTGATAAAAACAAATGAGAAATGTTACGTTAAAAAATCCTATGAATAAAGCCAACAATCATATGAAAAAATGCTCATCGTCACTGGTCATCAGAGAGATGCAAATCAAAACCACATTGAGATACCATCTCACGCCAGTCAGAATGGCGATCATTAAAAAATCTGGAGACAACAGATGCTGGTGAGGATGTGGAGAAAAAGGAACACTTTTACACTGTTGGAGGGAGTGTAAATTAGTCCAACCATTGTGGAAGACGGTGTGGCGATTCCTCAAGGCCTTAGAAATAGAAATCCCATTTGACCCAGCAATCCCATTACTGGGTATATATCCAAAGGACTATAAATCGTTCTACTACAAGGACACATGCACACGAATGTTCATTGCAGCACTGTTTACAATAGCAAAGACCTGGAATCAACCCAAAGGCCCATCGATGATAGACTGGATTGGGAAAATGTGGCACATATACACCATGGAATATTATGCAGCAATCAGAAATGATGAGTTCGTGTCGTTTGTAGGGACATGGATGAATCTGGAGAACATCATTCTCAGCAAACTGACACAAGAACAGAAAATGAAACACCGCATATTCTCACTCATAGGCGGGTGATGAAAAATGAGAACACATGGACACAGAGAGGGGAGTACTAAACACTGGGGTCTATGGGGGGAAAGGGAAGGGCCAGTGGGAGGGGGAGGTGGGGAGGGATTGCCAGGGGAGAAATACCAAATGTGGGTGAAGGGGAGAAAGCAAACAAAACACACTGCCCTGTGTGTACCTATGCAACTGTATTGCATGCTCTGCACATGTACCCCAAAACCTAAAATGCAATAAAAAAAAAAAATCCTATTAATAAATGAAACAAAAACCAAAAAGAAAAAAATAACAAGCATAAACTTAAGAAATACGTAAAAGCTATAAAATTCCCATGAAACTGTATTCAGGGACATTTTAAAGAAGAACTGAACCAAAAAGGTAACACCCTAGGCTTCTTATCATGGATGATACAGTACACTCAATTACTGGTTCAAGTTTTTCAACCCTCCCTGAGTATGTGTCTTCGGCCATGAAACTAACTACAAAAGTTGGAGTGTACCCTACTGCTCCTTGACTAGGGACTTGGACATTTTTCTTATATTTACAAATGGAATGTGGGCAGGAATAGCAGTGTACTGACCTAAATTTCAGAGGCAATGCATATTTCTGCTTGTTCTCTTGCACCTGCTATCACTATAAGAATGATTTTTTTCTGAGTAGCAGCAGCTTCTTTTCATGAGTCCAGGGGAAAACACTCTTGGAGATGACAAGAGCCCAAACTGCAACGATGTGCCACACTCACCCAGTTGGATCTGAACTGAAGCAGGGCCCCAGGCAAGCCTTGCTTGAGATCAGCAGACCCTCGATGACCCACACAAATGTGAGGAAAGAATACTTACTATTACGTGTCCTGACATTTGTGGTTGTTTGCTATACACCAATAGCTACCTGATATAATGATGCTCAGTTTTGGTTAAGAAAATTTTTTTTCCCCATAAATGACTACAAGTGTAATGCAATGGAAACCAAAATTTTCTATAGTTTCTTTTTTTTTTCTTTACTTTGTAAACTGATTATGACAGTCAATAGGAAAAAAAAAGAGCCAACAAAACTGTTATAAGAGAAATAATGTGAAACCCTGTCTCTATTAAAAATACAAAAAATTAGCTGGGCATAGTGATGGGTGCCTTGTAATCCCATCTACTCAGGAGGCTGAAGCATGAGAATTGCTTGAACCTGGGAAGTGGAGGTTGCAGTGAGCCAAGATCACACCACTGCACTCCAGTCTGGGTGACAGAGCAAGACTGTCAAAAAAAAAAAAAAAAAAAGAAAAGAAGAAGAAAAAGAAAGAAAGAGAGAGAGAGAAGAAAGAAAGAGAGAGAAAAAGGATGGAGAACTTGTTAGAAAAATTATCAGAGTCCATCTGAAACGGAGGAGAGAATAGGCTCACTTGGAAAAAAAAAAAAGGCACACTTAGAACCAGTCATATACTGAAGAAAAACAATAGCTTTAGCATGTGAAAAGTTGCTCAATCTCAACACAAGAAAAGAAATGAAAATAAAAATAAGATATCTCTCTTTCAGATTGCTTGAAAAAACAAAAACAAAAACACACACACTGAAAATAGCCAGAATTGGTGAGGATAAGGTAAGGGAACATTCAATAGCCTACTGGTAGGAGTGTAAACTAGTACAGTTTCCTAAGAGAGCAATTTGGCAGTGCCTATCAAAAACTTAAATTTATATACCTGAGGCAGAGACCACAATTTGCCTCCTGAAATCCATTCTCTCCTTATTTGCTTGGGAATGTGGCTAGCCAACACTCCCTAGACATCTTTGCAGTTAGACATGGTCAACATGAAATAAAGTAATGTATGCCATTTCTGGGCCTGGGCTTCTATAAAAAGTGGAATGATGGATCATCTTTCCCCTTCTGCCAGCTGTTATGAGGTCTTAGGAGATGACAGATTGCAAGATGGAAAGAGTCTAGGTCCATTAAAATCAGTATGGAGGAAAGCTGTTTGAAAACTTGTAACATTTACCCAAAACAGTTACATATGGGGAAAATTTTTCTATTACATTGAATCATTATAAGTTTAGATCTATTTTTATTAGCAGCTTAGCCTACCCTAACAAATACAATATCTTAAATGCATGCCAATGGGGAAAGAGTAAATACACAATTTGTGTTTTCAATTCATAGAATGCTATGCAGTCTTAAAATGATTAGGGAAAGGAAGAAATAATAGATGTTCATGGATGACATGAACATCTATGTAGAAAATCTAAAAGAATCAATTTTAAAAACTCTTGGAATTAACAAGTGATTATAGCAAGATTGTAGAATATGAGGTTAATATATAACATCAATTGCCTTCCTATGTACTAGCAATGAACAAGTAAAATTTGAAATTAAAAACACAGTAACATTTACATTAGCACTCCTTACAGTGAAATACTTAGGTGCATATAAATCTAACAAGAAATGTACAAGATCCCTGTGAGGAAAGTTTTTAAATTCTAATAAAAGAAATCAAAGAAAAACCAAATAAAGAGAGAGACATTCCATATCATAGATGCAAAGACAATATAAGATGTTAGTTCTTCCCAGTTTGATCTATAAACTAACTCAATGCAATAGCAATCAAAATCCCAGCAAGTTATTTTGTGGATACCGACAAACTGACTCTACAGTTTATAGAGTGGCGAAAAACCCCAGAATAGCAACGTATTATTAAAGGAAAAGAGCAAAGTCACGGGTCTGACATTACTTGACCTCAAGACTTACCACAAAGCTTCAGTAATCAAGACAAATAGTGTGATATTGGTGAAAGAGCAAACAGATGAATGAAACAGGGTAGAAATCACAGAAATAGACCTACATAGATAGTCAACTGATCTCTGAATCTCTGACAAAAAGCAAAGACAATGCAATGGAGTAAAAACACTCTTTTCAATAAATGGCACTGGAAAAACTGGACATCCACATGGAAAACATGGATATAGATACAGATTTCACCTTCTTCCCCAAATTAATCCGAAATAGATCACAGACCTAACTATAAAACATACAACTATAAAATTCCTAGAAGATAATACAGGAGAAAATCTGATGACCTAGGGTTTGATGACATTTGAATATAACACAAAAGGAATAATTCATGAAAGGAAGAGTTGAAAAGCTAGACTTCATTAAAATTAAAAACTTCTGCTCTGTGAAAGACAAGCCAACGACTAGGAGAAAATATTTATCAGATAAAGCTATATCTGATAAAGGATTGTTTTCCAAAATATGCAGAGAACTATTCAAATCCAACGATAAGAAAACAACCAATTAAAAGATGGGCCAAAGACCTTAACAGGCACTTAACCAAACAAGATATACAGATTGTAAATAAGCATATTAAAAAATGTCCCACATCATGTAATCAAGGAAATGCAAATTAAAATAACAATGAGATACCACTACAAACCTATTGGAATGGCCAAAATCCAAAACACTGGCAATGTCAAAGGCTGGTGAGGATGTTTTAAAGCAAGAGAAATTCTCAAGCATTGCTGGTGGGAATATAATATGGTACAATATCTTTGGAAGACAGTTTGGCAGTTTCTTACCAAACTAAATATACTCTTACCATATGATTCAGCAATTATGTTCCTTGGTATTTGATCCAAAGGAGTTGGAAACTGATGTCCATACAAAAACCTGTACAAGGTTATAGTAGCTTTATTCATAAATCCCAAAACTTGAAAGCAATCAAGATGTCCTTCAATGGATAAACTGTGGTACATCCAAACAATGAAATATTATTCAGTACTAAAAAGAAATGAGCTATCAAGTCACGAAGAGACATGGAAGAAGATTAAATAATGCATTATGCTAAATGAAAGAAACCAATTTGAAAAGACTACATATTATAGTACATTCTGGAAGAGGCCAAACTATAAAGACAGTAAAAAGAGCAGTAGTTGCCAAGGAGTTGGGGAGATTGAGGGATATATAGGGGATATACTATAAAGAGAACTTTTAGAGCAGCAGAAATATTCTGTATGACACTATAATACTGGATACATGTGATTACATTTGTCCAAACCACTAGAATGTACAACACCAAAAGTGAACTGTAATATAAACGATGGGCTATGGGTGACTATGGTGTAAATTCATCAACTGTAACAAACGTACCACTCTGGTGGGAGATGTTGATAATTGGGCAGACTATCTATGTGTAGGGGCAAGGAATATATGGAAAATCTCTGTACTTTTTGTTCAATTTTGCAGTGAATGTAAAACTACCCCAAAAATACAGTCTATTAAAAAACAATTAGGTGTATCTATGTGAACAGGTATAAAATGATATCTATTAAATACTCTCAAAGAGAAAAACAAGTTGAAAAGTACATAATGAGTTTATTTTTTATTTTCAAAACACCCTCAAAATATATATACATTTTTTAAATATATAGAAACCACACACACACACACACAATGTCTACAAAAAATCTTGAAAGATATATACACATCAAAAAATTACTAGTGCCCAAATTGTGGTCTTTAAATATCATTTCACACTAAAAGACATTAGATTGCCCTGGACAAATGACTGATACCTACTTGGGGAAGTAATACACAAAATGAACCAGGACAGTTTGTCATACTAAATAGCAAAGTAACTATCAAAGACTACTAGGATCATGTCAAAAGGACTTAAGAACAACTTGAAGAAGCTCCTAATTGTCAGAGATAAGACTGTAATTATAATGACTGAAATGTCCAGAAGCACTCATCTAAATCCATGGCATGTAAAACAAACAAACCCAAGCCACAATCAATTACCACTGGAGGATGTTAAGCAATTCTTGGTATTTTTTTTTTGAAACCTGGAAATAAATGAAAAGACTCAAGCATTTTATCGTACTTTTCTTATAAGAAATACACCACTCAGTAACTCACCAGGAAATAAGTTTTTCTTTATAGTTATTCCAATATTTCTTTTTTTTTTTTTTAGAGTTTTGCTCTTGTTACCCAGGCTGGTGTGCAATGGCACGATCTCGGCTCACCGCAACCTCCACCTCCTGGGTTCAGGCAATTCTCCTGCCTCAGCCTCCTGAGTAGCTGGGATTACAGGCACGCGCCACCACGCCCAGCTACTGTTTTGTATTTTTAGTAGAGACGGGGTTTCACCATGTTGACCAGGATGGTCTCGATCTCTTGACCTCATGATCCACCGGCTTTGGCCTCCCAAAGTGCTGGGATTACAGGCGTGAGCCACCGCACCTGGCTTAATGTTTCTAATATAGGTATTCTACCAAAAAAAGAACGATAGAATTCAAATGTACCCCTACTATAATCCCTATGAGCCAAGCATGTAGGTATTGACCATGAATGGCTGCTGCTATCACAAAAAGAGAGAGAGAAGCAGATATTCTGTCACTGTGATGGAAGACAATAGTACCACTCATGAAGTAATTGCCAAAACAACAAAACTGAATGTGAATTTAACCAAACCTCTAGATCTAACTACCAACTTACAGGAAATACAAGAAAAGCAACAAGTTGTACTACATCATAGCAGACAAACAACAAAATGTAGATCATGGAAAATACTACAGGACAAAACACTAGTTTCTTTAACTTAAAAAACACAGCAAGAAGAAAAAGAGAAGGGAAACAGGGAAATAGAAAAGAACACAGGAAGAGGGGGGAAAGGAGAGAGACAGGAAGGGACAGAGAAAGAGAGTGTGAAGGACAGAACTTACAGAGACTGGTAGGGAACCTGAGACTTTAAAGATATAAACCAATCACAACATGTGGACTTATTTGGATCTTGATTAATAAATAATTTATTTTTTAAAAAAAACAGTATTTGAGAATATTGGTAATTTGAACAGGGGATATTTGATATTAAGAAACTACTTTTAACTTTTTTAATGTGATAATAATATTGTCATTCTGTTGTAGAGGGAAAAGAATTCTGTTACTTTTTTAATCCATCTTGATATTTACAGATAAAATGATGCAGAATTTTTAATATGCTTCAAATTGAAAATTAAAGACAGGAAGCAAATGGGGGTTTAGTCATGTGGTGATGGTAGCTAGAGGCAGGAAACAGGTAAGAGTACTTCATGAGGCTATTCTGCCTGCTTTTACATAAATCTGAAGTTCTCCATAATAAATGATAGACAATCTTAGCAAAGATGCTACCAAGACGTTAGGCCCTGAGATAGCAAATAATATTTTGTCAGACATGGATAAAAATAACATGCTTGCAAGTCATTTTTTCTAAAGATGCTAAGACTATAAACCTTGATCCAACCCAAAGCCCCCTTTACTTCATTTGTATCTTGAAAGGATCCTGCTAATGTTTGCACGAGAAGTTCTATTTAGACATTCTGCTTTTAAAGGTATATTTGTATCAGCTATGAAATTTACTTCTCTGTAATTTCAGTATTAAGTGACAGGAATTCATCTGTTAGTCAGAAAGTATTGATATGTGATCAAATACATTTATTCTCAGTCTTATGGCTTTAAATTACATCTGTGAGTCAGTGACTCCAAAATACAGCTATAACCTAGACCTCTCACCAGAACTCCAGATTCAGACATCCACCTGCCTGCTCATACATCCATCTCTACTTTGACTTCTCATAGGCATTTCAAACTTATAATGTTCAAAGCTAAACTCCTTACCTGCCCTGAAACCTTCTTTTTCCATAATTTTCCTGCCCAGCTGAAGCCAACTCCATCCTCTAGTATAAGCAGTATGTAAGAGCACAGACTTTGGGACTAGAGTACTCTACATTTGAATCCTGACTCCATCACAAAGTAACTGTGTGGCTCTGGAGAAAATTCTTAACCTCTCTGTACCTTAGTCCATTCAGCTGTGAAACAAATACTAATAGTGCCTCCTCTTGGGGTTACTCTAGGAATAAACAGCACTTCCTATGAGCCAGGCACTCTGAACACTTTACAACAGTTCAACATCATCACTGTTGTTGTTATTCTAGTAGTTCAGGCCAAAAACCTTAGAATCACCTTCAACTATTCCTTCTCTTACTTTCCTAAACAAAATGCTATAGGTCTAGATTCCAATCATTTCTCAAAGCACTTCCACCACAACTATACTAACCCCCAGCATTTCTCGATGATGGCAAACAGCTCTCAAAATGCTCTCCCTGCTTTTTTGCCTTTGCCTGCTTGCCCACAGTCTGTTTTGCACATGGCAAAGTGATTCTTTAAAACAGAATTTAGATTACTGCACTCCTCTGCTCAAAACCCTCCAGTGACCTCGTGTCTCAGAAGAAAACCCCAAATCCTTATATGGCCAACAAGACCCTTCACCATCTAGCATGGGCTCCCTCCCAACCTTTATATGTGACCTCACACCCTACTCACCTCTCTTACTCCTCCCCACTCCTCAAACACATGACATGTGCTCCTGCTTCAGGGACTCTGCGTTTGCTTTTCCTTCTTTCTGCAAAGTCTTCTCTCAAATACCTGCTTGGCTTACTCCTAAAAGTCTCAGTCTTCCATGACTACCTCATAAGACTGAACCCCTCAATACTCCCTATTTCTTTACTGGTTTATCTTTTCCCCACAGCTCTTAAACTTTCTAACATACTATAGAATATACTTATTTGGTGTGCTTAGTATGGTTCCTCTCACCTGAATATGAGCTTTATGACCACAGGGATATTGGCCTGTTTGCCTAAAAAGAGTGTCTGTCTTAGAACAGGAATCAAATTTTAAGTATTTCCTCGGTTCCATACTGTTTGAAAAAAATCAGATTAAAAAAAATCTTACAACAAAAAATACACAGAGATTTTGGTTTTCTCAAAATTATAACCAAATCCAACTTGTGTTATCTTTTATTACTTAACCTTTGTGCTGTCTCAACTGTCTGGTCCCAATCCTGCAAGGCTAGTTGTAACTTCATTTTCTTAACAAAAGCAGGAAGGAAGCTCGGAAAGTTCACGATTATCTGGTTCACAGTCTCCAAAGCACCTAAATAATTCTGCCTCATCTCCAGGCATTGTGCCTAATGGAAGAAAAAAAAAACAGTGATATCAAAACTATGATCTTTCATATCAAAGTTCTCATAACACAGAGTAGGCAGAGTATGAGTGTTTAATATCTGCTGACTTTTCTGTGAGGAATAAAGTTTCTGTCAAAACAAAATTTTAAAACATCACAGAATAATACAAATAAATTATATAAGCTATTGTTTTTTAGAATTTACTTTTAAATAGCTGAAAACTATGATGAAAGAATAAAATTTTTTAAAATGTTCTCAGAAACACCATAAAATAATGATCCCATTTACAACAAGAAAATTATTTTTTTAGATTAAAATATTTCCAGTAAATTTTTAATTAGCATCTGAAAATTTTAGAAATTTTGCGTCTTTTTTAATAAATTATTTTCAGGTTAAAGAATATGCAATTTAAAAGAACAAGCAAAATAAAGTTCAAACAAATCCCTCTACTTCAACATTTTCACTTCTATGAATTATCTGAAGGAAATAATTCCTTGTGAGGAAGGATATAGATGATATTTATGGCAGAACTGTTTATGTATAAAATAATCCCAAATGGACCTAGAGGAGAAAATTATAGCATATCCATTTAATGAAATTTTAAGTCATCATTAAAAATGATGATGTAAATTTGTAACTGTATATTTACTGACATGAGGAGATATTATACATAATAGTGTACCTGGTTATTTCCAAAGTGACATTCATTTTCTCATTCAAATTTTACTGCATTTTCTGACAAAATTTTTTTACTATGTTCATGTATTACTTTCATAGTCAGAAAAAATAAAGCTATAAATATAGTTAGTACATTAAAAAGAGATGATGAGGCACATTTTTATCAACTAGCTTTTCTTTAAGAGAAATCAAGAAAAATGTACGGCCAACTGCTATAGCAGTGCTATCAGGTAAAACCTGAGGGTGGTGGGTCTGAACAATTATGTTCTATAGGCTCACTGTCCATGCAAAGTGACAGGAAAAGTGATATGGGGACATTAACGCAAGTCAAGACATGAATATTCTCCCCTTTCTAATAGACTGTTGTCTATTAGATAAGCATATAAATTTACCTAAATTAACATAAATTTAATTGCTTTTTGCTGAGTCAAAAATAATAAAAACAATTTTTAAGGCATTTAGAAAGCATCAACAGGGATTGAAGAAAGGGTCCTACTTAAATATTTCCACCCATCGCTGAGTTCCAATGACTCCATCAATTGCTCATCACTTAAAACGTATGTCCGATCATGTTATTTCTCTGTTCAAAACTTTGTATTGGTTGTCTGTCTCTCTAATTGAAGGTAGAAGCCAAAGGCCTTACAGAACAGACCCACGACTCCCCCTAACCCCCATCCCACCTTTCTTCCTCAGGCCTTAACTTCTGTTCTCTTGGCTCATCCCACTTTGGCCTCCTGAATACTCCTTAAGGTGTCTAACTCTTTATCCCCTCTATTTGAAATACTTTCCCCAATGCCCACAGGGCTTTAACCCTCACCTCCTTAAATGTCTTAGCTCAAATGTCACTTTCTCTGACCACTTCATGTAAAATTGGAAGTTCATGCCCTCCAGCTTTTCCTGCTGTATTTATTTTCCATTGTATTTATCACCTTCCAATACACTACATAATTTACTTACTTATTTTGTTTATTGTCTGTCTCTATCAGTAGAATATAGGCGCCATAAAAACAAGAGGTTTTGTCTTGCTCAGGGTTTCTAATATCTAGAGTGATGCCTCACATACATAGACATATAATAAATGCTGAGGAAATAATGTATGAAACAAAACGATAATAATGGTTACAGCCGATCTAGGAACTTTGGCAGGGAATACAATTTTCTAGCGTATTGCTCATTGTGCTGCACAAATGCAAGTCCACCTTACAGCTGTGAGCCGACAATAGTATCATGGAAATTATCAACTTTCTTGAGCTACTTGGTTTTGTCAGGTTTCAAATATATTATGAATAAAATTTGAAGCATGATTTATTTACCTTAACTCCAACTCACCTTACCCAGCAGAGCAAAAGTATCATTCCCATCTTGGAGTCCCTCTTCAAAATACTTCAGTGCTTTTTTAGTGTAAGCATCTTTTCCTCTGGTAATATCAAGCCATGCTTTCAAAATGTGTCCCTGTAAAATAAATAATTCTATTTTCACTTTTTTAGAAATGAAAGAAATAAATGTTATTAAAGAACCTAATGTCATTTTTTGGCAATTAATAGCAAAAAGGACTGCATCAAATAATGTTATGAACAATACAATTCTGTTAGTGAAATCACTTTTGAACCCTTGCCAGCCTAGTGTCTAGGGAACTATACTACAAATTTCAGCCTTTAACAGTACTACTGAGCTCAATATTAAAATGAAGATGCTTATCAAATATTTCGTTAGTGTTAAAACCATTATTTTCTCTGAGATTTTGTTAGTAATTGATGATTAATAATGCTTAAACATGTAATTCAAAATATACATGAGAATTTGTTGTCTCTTTTTGGGCAAACAGCCTAAATGAACTAAGATGAAATAACAGAAAATGTCTTGCTTCACATATCTTAAAGATTCAGATAATCTGGCAACTATTTTCTTAATCTCTTTGATTAGTCCATTGAATTTCAAATGACAGGTGAATGGCCTGAGAAATTAAAAACTGAATAACTCATGGATATTATCTTTACACGTTAGTGGGCCCATGGGTTTTAAGACATATATGATTGAAAAGAATATGCAAACTGGTTATTTTTCAGCTTAAGGTCAAATAAAAAACTGTGTAATGTGCCCTTCTATTTAAAAAAACTAGGTTAATTGACCAACTTATAAACCTTTAACTAAGGCTATATTTATCTCCCTGTATTTCACTTGAAAACACAGATAAGAATCTTAACCAATGCTACGTACTAAATTAGTGCCATTATTTGAATGATTTTAACTATTGTCTCTGTGTGGATGATTCCCCACCTATATTTCTAGCCCAAAACCTTTGCTAAATTTTTATTTTTCCAGAAATTAATCTGCTATATCCATCTGACTGTTCTGCCAGCACTAGAAATACAGCATGTTTTAAGTCAAATATATCACTTCCCTTTATGATTAGCTTCTTATGCCAATGTATTTTCTAATTATGTTAACTGGTCTCTAATTTATTTAGGCTTAAAGCCTGAAAGACATCCTAATATATGACAACTTGTTATCTTTCCCAACTATTTATTATCAGTTCACATGTCCTGTCAGTATTTAAAAATTCTGAACTTTGTACTCACTGTACAATATTTTAGTGTAGTGCCTCAAAACCTTCTGCAAGAAAGCACTATCTTTTTCTTTTTGCTGCATTCATTCCAGTTTAACCTCAAGCCACTTCATTCTAGAAACCACTGTTATATTAATCTTCTGGATTTGCACCCTAATAAAATCAGTACCATGATTAAAGGTCTTCAACAGCCTCTCAATGCATGTCAAATCAGATGCAAATATTTGTAATTAGCTGTCAAGATCCTTTAATTTGTCTCAATCTACCTCTCCAAGCTTTTCTTTCACCCTCGTTATGTCTGTATTCAGTGTTCCATCAAATGAGTATCTCAGTGTACCCAGAAGTAACATGTCTCATTTCCATCTATTATTTCCCGCTTTGGGAATATCTACTTTGCTTTTCCAGAATCTTTGCCTGTGGAAATTGTATTCATCTTTCAGATTTTAGCTCAAATGCTACTTCCTTCAAAAAAATTCTTTCACATTCTCTTAACACTTCACACACGATCTCTCCTTAATTTAAAATAGTGCCTAGCACAAAGTAAGCAAACAATAAATGTTATCTATTATTTTCTTGTGCAACTTAATCACATCTCTTGCCTATCGTCTATCATTTTTCTCACAATATCAGCCAAGGATATGCTCTACACCACTGCTCGATTATTCATTCACGAAAGCAAAGTTTAGGTATTCTTTTCCTTTGCATTATTAACCATACAGATAATGGTGTCTTGTATCCAGAGCTGTTCTGTAAGAAGAGAGGGAGGAAAGGAAAGAATAAAATATGGAGGGAGGGAAGGAAAAGGGAGAGAAAAAGAAAGAGAAAAACAGAGAGAAGGAACCAGGGAGAGTTAGCAGCATAAAACTAACCTTAGAGAATCCCTATTCTACAATAAATACACTATTAACCACTTGATAATCATAAATGGGTTAAAATAAAGCTGTTATTTATAAAGTGGCAATAGAGTGGACAATAACAAATAACTAAATCACAGATACTACTGGACATATCAATAACATAAGCGTCTTTTAATTTATTATCTTAAAATCAGAAAAATAGCTACCTGTTTACTCCCATCTGACATTTTGATCATTCTGTCAATATATTCTCTCGCTTTATCATGGCGACCAACGTGCCATAAAAATAAGCCTGCATGGTATAAGGCTTTCTCTCCAGCTCCTTTACGTTGCTCCTTCACTCGGGCATCTGATTCCAGAATAGCTTCTCTATCTGGGAGGGGAAAATGATATTAAATAAAAATTAAATTCTGGATCAGGTATTTATAATCGGTCAGATGATTAACAAGGCAAATAATTTACTTCTCTCTATAGCGGTACTAACAGAAATAAAATGCAAGCCTTATAGATAACTTAAAATTCTCTAGTAGCCCTATCAAAGAAATAGAAAGAAACATGTAAAATTAATCTTAATGTTTTATTTAACCCAATATATCTAAGATATAATTTCAATGCATCATCGATATAAAAATGAGATGTTTTGGATTCTTTTTTCTTACTAATTGTGAAATCTGGTATTTCATACTAAGAGCACATCTGAATTAAGATGCTAGATTGTATTCAGAAATACTTGATTTGTACTTAGATTTCATAAAACTTCTGTCTGAAAGCAGAGGTTTAGACTCAAGTTATTCCAAATGTAAGTTTTCTGATAACTGAATCAAGTATCACATTTAAGTTTAAAAAGTAAATTAATTAGAACTGAATAAAATTTTAAATTCAGTTCATCAAACTCACTAAAAAAGCTGTATCTGGCCAGGCACAGGGGTTCACACCTGTAATCTCAGCACTTTGGGAGGCCGAGGTGGGCAGATCACCTGAAGTCAGGAGTTTGAGGCCAGCCTGGCCAACATGCTGAAACCCAATCTAAAAATACAAAAAAATTAGACAGGCATGGTGGTGGGTGCCTAATCCCAGCTATGTGGGAGGCGGAGGCAGGGAGAATTCCTTGAACCCAGGAGGTGGAGGTTGCAGTGAGCTAAAATCACACCACTGCATTCCAGCCTGGGCAAAAGAGGAGACTCCATCTCAAAAAAAAAAAAAATCTGTATATGGAAAGGATATATGCTATTTTTTTAATAATAAGATTTATAAAAATGTATAATGGTTCTAACCACAATTGTTAGGAACAGTTCCAATATTAGCACTCAAAGTATTAATACTTCTTAAATACAATTGTAAAATATATAAACATGACAGCTATCGTGATGGGTTAGAAAAAGATAGCATAATTGCTGTTACTTATATAGTTTAATATTGACTGCTTCCCTAAATAGATAATGCTATTCACTTACATTAAATCTATTTACTCTCTCTATATATGAGTATCTGCTTAGGACACAAAAGTCAATCATACCCACATCCTGGATGGAATTAGAATCAAAATCAGCCATGCAATGAGGAAGAAAAAAACGTACGTTGAGGCCTGTGATTCTAACAGTTCTATCTTTCTGGAATGTCTATCACAGAGAAAGGTATGTGACTCTTCCTTTCAACTCTAATGATATAAATTTAAATGTGGAATTAACAAGGTATAATCTAATGAGTTAAGGAAACAAAGCTGCTTCTCTAAGTCTACAGATTGCTTAGCAAGAAGACCCGTTTCTTCTCTCCCAACTCCCCACCCCTCCAATCCCTTCAAAAGTGTTCATTAAATAGCCATTCTACAAAAACAGGAAAAAAAAAAAAATCAGGGCAGGAGCAGTCATTGTACAGGAAATCTTTCCTACTCAGATTTCTATCATGTCCCTAATGAGGTATCAATCAGCTGTAATACTGTCTGAATAAAGCTGTTGCCAGATTTCAGCCTTTTTATAAGCAGGGCTTACATCAGCATTCTGGAAGAATGTACACTAACAATCTACGACTTTCCTAGGCAGTATTTACAGACATCTGGGCCCACACTACAGCTCAAGTCCATTCAGCTTCATTTTTGGTGCAAAGCAGAGTTAGCACTAAGATGCCTCTGAACAGTATTTCTGACTCCATCAGTGTCCTGGAAATCAGTTTCCAACAGAATCAACACTGGTAAGAATAACCAATTAAATAAAAACTTGATTCTGAAAAGAAATTATTTTGAACTAATTTCTTTTATTTAAACTTACTGACTGCAGCTCTCCCATGAAAATTCTCTGTTCTAGCTAAACAGACTCCACCTGGAGCATGGAGAAAAAAATCCCTATGTACTAATGATCCACACAAGAGCCTAATCCTGAGCCACTCCCATGTATTTGCCTATCCATTTCTCCTCTCTCTGGTGGACACTCTTCATATTCAAATTCTACCTGTCCTTCAAAGATCAGATGAAGTTCCAAACTTTCACAAAGCCCTCTCAGCCTACTCTTACAGTTCAATAGTGCATATCAACTTCAAGTAATTAAAAACTCATTTGTTTCATTTATATTATTCAATAGAAACACATATTTACACGTTTTAAATATTGTATTGATTTGTGCATGAAGGAGGTATGTCATGGTTGGTTTTAAAAAAAAGTCTCTTCTAATATTCAAGGAAGCAGTCCATGACCTTTGTTTATTATCTAATTATTTGAAACACAATCTATATTACAATCCTATTAGCTGTTACTGGATATATATGTAAGAGTATAACACCACTTCTCCTTTATTACAGATAATTTGGATACTCTCTGCCTTCACCATTAAGTTAACTGTACTTAAGACAGTTCACACAACTTCATTTTTTATTTTCTTTTTTTTTAGAGATGGGTGTCTATGTTGCCCAGGCTGGCTTCAAACTCTTGGGCTCAAGCACTTCACCTCAGCCTCCCAAATTCCTGAGATTACTGGCTTCAGCCACTGCGCCCAGCAGTTTACACAACTTTAATTGCTGGTTTAGGTATAAAGTTTCTTCTGTAATCTAGTCATGATCTAGTCAACCTACTACTACATAAAAATTTACTGAATATCTTCCAAGAGCTAGCCCTCATAAAGGGTTTAAAGGCTCTGAAGAAGCTTAATATACAGAAGAAATAAACCACATTGGCTGTATACTTGCACATAAGTTGTAAACTTAGCTGCTGCAGGACAATTTAGGTATATACGGTACCTGTTTTTTTGGCTGCCTTTTTTTTGTATGACAATTACTAAAATACATTCCCCTTTAAGTTAACTAAAAAAAATCCCTATGTACTACTGAAACCTCTACCATAGGATATAAGGAACACGAAAGTAATATAAGACATATTTATTGTGCCTGATGAATTTATACCCTTGTCAGGAAGATAAACACATGTATAAATTGTATCTACAGACAATATACAATACAGTGTGATCAGACTGAATGGCTTTTTAATTGAGAAAAATCAAAATGAATTGAATAGGAAAACTGTCCTAAGCATTGTACTTAAATACCATACCTGGATTAGGACTCATTTTATGGGCATATACCAGTGCAATTAGAGAACAAAGTGATACATCCTCTTTATTTTTAATAGCCTCAAATTCTCGAAGAGCTTCTTGAGTTTTACCTGAAAATCAAGATTGTGATATGAAAAACTGTTCTTAGTGCAAAGCAAGAATTTAAAACTGATGAAACATGTTTAATAATTAGTACGTACCTTCCATTAATGTGCCATAGGCATGATAAAACCTGAAGACTGGGTCACTTCCATACCTCTTAATTCCTTCACTGGCAACCAGTAACACATGATGGAAATACCTCTCTTGACAATAGTAATTAATCAAAGTCTAAAAGGAAATAATGAGAAAATGTTATAAAGGAATTCTGTTGTTCTGAATTACTCTAAGAAGCAGATATTAATCTAACAGCCAGAATAATGTAAAACTCAGGCAATGTGACTTTTTTCTTCCAAGTTCCTTAAAATATTGTTAATGGCTAGAACTCAATGCTAAAGATTGCAGAACTGAATGATCATAAAATTATCGAAATAATTTATTTTCTAATAACTTCAATTCTGTTCCTAAAGTTTTTGTTAACAGCACCAAAATGAGCCTGCTTTCACATTTTTTCCTTTGCCCACGTTTTCTTGAATGGTTTAGAAAACATAAAAGCAGACAGATAAAACAGAGTAATGACAAACTAATTTCTTCAATTTATCATCGAATGTTATCTTAATTGGCTTGAGTTCTGCAACAAATTGTCAGTTAAGAACAAATAAACTACTTTTCAATGGAAATGGCTGTCTTTAAGCTGTTTCCAAATTATATTATTTCCATTTACAAGACAAAACCACTATCTGGAGCTACTAACTTTTGAATAAAAATGGGCCTGTGCTATCTACCATTTTTCTTAGGATTATGTCTAAGGCTTGATTGCTAACCTCATCAAAGAGAGAAACCACACTTTCCTGCCATCACTAGGACACACCTAATTCACCAGAAAGCAGTTTGGGCCATTCCACACCATCCTACCTGGACTCTACATCTCGTTCAGTAGCAGTGAGAAATACAGGTGACTGATAAGATTGAAATCTGAGGCTGTCTAGACAGCTCTGTTTTATTTATTTATTTATTTTTTGTTTGTATAAAGTGATTTATTTAGAGAGAGAGAGAGAGAGAGAGAGAAACAGAAGAAGGGGAGAGAAAGAAACAGCTAACTCTCACACTGAGAAAATCCAGAAAGATGGAATGCAGGAGAGGAAAGCAGCTTCCACATTGAGTGGAAGGGAATAGAGAGAGATGGAGTTTAGAAGAGAGGCTTCCACGAAGGGATTGTTTGTGGAAGGGGTATTTGTTTATTTATTTAGAGACAGAGTCTCATTCTGTCACTCACACTGAAGTGCAGTGGTGCAATATCTGCTCACTGCAACCTCTGCCTCCTGGGTTCAAATGATTCTCCTGCCTCAGCCTCCCAAGCTGGGACTAAAGACACGCACCACTGTGCCTGGCTAATTTTTGTAGTTTTAAGTAGAGATGGGGTTTCATTCACCATGCTGGCCAGGCTGGTCTCAAACTCTTGACCTCAAGTGATCTACCTGCCTGGGTCTCCCCAAGTGCTGCGATTACAGGTGTGAGCCACCACACCCGTCTGACAGCTCTGTTTTATAGTCTCTTGTTTCTGGCAGGCTATAGTCCACCTACTTCTCTAGATCAGTCAGGCAACTGTTCTCTGTAATGTAATCTGCCTTCCCCCTGTGGTCATTGCTCCCTACCCTCCTGTTAAGTCATGTTTCTTAAAAATGTGATCCATACTCCATCTCCAGACCCCCACAGCACACCTCAGTGAAGCACAGTTTTCCTCCAATGCTCCAGCCCCTAAAATTGCAAAATGACCCCTTACTTTGCCACAATTGAGGACACATTTAATATACTTACTGACTTCTGCACACATCACTAAGTATCTATAATCCTCCTGAAAGGCAGTGACGTAGCACCATAAAAAGAACACAAATTTAAAGGCAAAAAGACCTGGCTTCAAATCTCTGACCCTTCTTACAATGCCTCAGTCTGCTCATTTATAACATGTACTGTTTGGAATGACAATGGCCAAGTAGATGTGACAGACCATATGTCCCATAAAGTTTAAAATGTGTACTATCTGGCCCTTTGTTGAGAGAGTTGGCCATTCCCTGCTCCGGAAAGAAAGACAGAGAGTATTGAAAGACGAGGTTGGACAGAAAGGTGGGGTGAGAAGAGCCTCATGCTAAGTACTTGAACTTAATTCTCACGTCTAAGTGATGTGGAGTCCCATTTTTACATTAAAGTGTTTTATTAAAAAGTTCACTTGGGTGGCAGTGCAAAGAATACATTTAAGGGTAAGAAAAAATTTAAGGGGATGGCAGGATAGCTAGAACAGAGGATAATGTAAAAGTTTTGGTAGGAAAACAAGACACTTCAGCATCCCCTAACCTCTCGCACTGCCAAATTGTCCTCCATCTACTTACCACCATCTCACAGAATACACATTTTATTTACGTACTTGTCTGACTCCTCCTACTCAAATGTAAGCTCCAAGATTGAGTTTTTCTTGGTTGTATTTTTTCAGTGCTTAGAACAGTGCTAGACACACAGGAGGCATTCAATAAATACTTGAACGAGCTGAATTAGGTTTTTCCCCCAGTATTAATTAGCCTGTAAAATCTGAGAAGGCAGAGACTGTTCAGTTTTGCACACTGCCATCTCCAGCTTCTCCCGGACATACAGTAAGCCCTTCATAAATATTTGCTGAACGAATGAATCAGTGAACAAATGAATACAAACGACCAACATCCGAAGTTATTTTCAAGCCTCGTGTCTTTAACCGTTTTTATCTGCCTTTCTTAAGTTGACTGTCACTAATATCTGCTGAATGGATGAGTCAGTGATAAACAGAGAAGACTATCACCCTAAAATAACGATCTCACGTCTTTAATGGGTTGCATATAATCTTTCTGGGCTCTTTTTACTGTCCAGTGTGGGAGCTGACACTAGTTTGCCTTAAGTCCTTAAAAAGCCTCACCTGGAGGCCCTGTGTCATAGGTAACCCAAGCTTTCCTAGTAAACATGATGCAAAAGTAAACACAACCAACTGCATGGGAACGAGCAATTCAGAAACAGAGCGCGGGCGGGCTGCCCAGACATGGGGCTTTCCCAGCAGGACCGGCGGAGGGCGGAGGCTGCAGGCCCACCCTGCAACCCGAGCGGCCGGGGCACCGCCGGTTAGCGGTGGCCTAGCGAAGCCACCCGAGCGCCTTTCGCGCCCCCGAGCCAGCGGCCTGCAAAGGAACCCCGCCCGTCCGCTCACCTTCAACTCCTGCGAGTCCATGGCTGGCCCCGAGGCCGGGCCACGGGAATATGGGACGAAGTCTCGCCGCAACCCTACGGAAGACGCGAACTCAAAAGTCCCCGACTCCCGGAACCCGCCTGCGCCCCGGGACCTGGCGGGAGGGGCGGGGCGGGGAGAGGCCGCGCCCCCATTGGCTGCCGGCGGGAGGGGCGGGCCTGTGTGGCGGGAGCGCGCTGCGGCGAAGCAGGCTCGGCGGGGACCTGGAGGGAGGGCTGCGAGGGCGATCCGGGAGGGTTCGGGCTGGGAAAAGGGCCGCTGACGGTTGGTGTATCTGGAAAAGGAGATCACACTGGGAAACGCCTGTCTGAGGACAGTGGTTGGGGGGCCGAGGAAACGGAATTAAGAAATAAAGGAAACGGAGGAGGAAGTAGAAAGAACGGGAAGTCTGTTTACCATCACTGATTAAAGGAAGACACCATGTTCTGCACGTTTGTCTGGAGGCCGATGCCCGCAGTGCGGCTCTCGGGAAGGCTGGGTAGGCGCGGGAAAAAGCGGTCAAGTTTCACTTGGCGAATTGTTTTATGGCCACAAGGTGGCGCAGAAAAATCACACGTTCTTAACAGAAATGCGTTGAGCTTGGGCCGGTCTCTGCAGGCGTTGCGGCAATCTCCTTTGTTAGAATACATGTTCAATTAGCCCGTTTTTACCTGCCTCGGTAATAGGAGGAGCAAATAAGTTAAACTTTCAAAAAATCGGTATCTTTTGAAAATCGTGTTTTTAATGTTTTAATTTTTAAAATTAAATGTTTTTAATGATACTGCTGATTTTAAGCTGATATTAAAGTTAGTCCCAATACAAATTTTTATGTTTGCACCCACTAGGCAACTCAATCAGTTATACACAGATTTCTTAAGACCAGGAAATTAAATTGAAATAAGACTAAATTTAAATAGGACTAAATAGGACCATTCTTAAATTTGAGAATGGACTAAGATTTTCTATTTCTGCTTAAAGAAATATTTTAAATAGTACATAAGGTCTGAGATTTCAGTGATCCTTGCAGACTCACGTGGATTCCAAATTTGATCCTAGTGTTAATGATCTTACTTTATTTAGTTGACATGCGTAGTTGCCTCTTCCAGATTTTTAAGTTTCTTAAGGAGTTTATAAACATTGACTTTTTCCCCATGCCAATAGATTATGTAAGGACAGTCTGGGAAAAAAGGGTAGCTAGTCTTTAAGGTGAAGCAATATTTCTCACTGGTTTCTCTTTAAAGGAATTCGTCACATATTTTCATGAGCAATTTTTTTTTTCTTTCCAATATTCATAGTCCAGCTGAATGTCTGTGGTGATGGACAACTGGTGATAGCTGCTTGTCTGATTTTCAGAGCTGCGAATTAATCCGCACTTGGTATACCGCAAAGAATACCACAGGGCCAGGGTGTTCAATGAAGTGTATAATCTTGAACTGTAAACCTTTGGTTATAAGGGAAAAGTTCATCTCTAAGGAAATATCTCAGGATCATGGTTAACAGAACAGATGATCAGCCTACCTTTTGGAGACCTTTGAAGTCATATTCAGTTAGCCTGTTATTATCTTCACTGAATTTTGTTCTAAGTTTGAATTATTTAGCACAAAACACCATGCCTGATGTTTCATAAATGTTTATTGCATTAAAAGTACTCTGAGATTTGCTTTGACACTCATGGTGACCTTGTGTGCCCTGTACCCTGATTAAATTTCATGTAAGAAATTTATTTTGAATCTTGGGCCAGAAAAACCTTGTCTTTGAAAAATCGATGCATTCCTTAGCATTAACATTTTTACCTCACTTTTCCGAGCTACAAACTTTTGAATCTCCTATCCAAGATTCTTCACCTCATTGTCTTTTCAAGCCTTGTCTTCTACCTCAGCTTCAAGGAGCCTTTATTCGGAGTCAGTGGGACAAACATTCCTTCTTCTGGGAATGCTTTCCCCTACTTCGTTTTGAGCTCTTTCTTCACCTGAGAAAATCTCCTTCTTCAGAGTTCGTTTCAGAGCTCATGAAGTCTTTAAGGATCACCATAACTGGATGGGTATAAAAATATCACAATGCAGTAGCAAGAATACAATATCCCACATCTGAGGGGGAGCTCTTATTATGCTAGTTACTTTTGTGACTTGAAGAAGTAATTTCCCTGAGCCTCATTTTCCTGATTTACTAAAAGCCTTACAGACATATTAAAAGTTTCTGACATCAGTGGCTCAAGCCTGTAATCCCAGCACTTTGGGAAGCCAAGGTGGGTGGATCACGAGGTCAACAGATCGAGACCATCCTGGTCAACATGGTGAAACCCCGTCTCTACTAAAAATACAAAAAAATTAGCTGGGCATGGTGGCGCGTGCCTGTAATCCCAGCTACTCAGGAGGCTGAGGCAGGAGAATTGCCTGAACCCAGGAGGCGGAGGTTGCGGTGAGCCGAGACCGCACCATTGCACTCCAGCCTGGGTAACAAGAGCAAAACTCCGTCTCAAAAAAAAAAAAAAAAAAAAAAAAAAAGTTCCTGATACATAATAGGCATCGTATAACCAATAATTTCCATTAAACACGTAGTGCTCTACAACAGTGGTCCCCAACCATTTGGCACCAGAGACCAGTTTCCTGGAAGACAGTTCACAGAAGATAAATTTTTCATGGACAGGGGTAGTAGGGATGAAACTTTACTCATCCTACTGATCTGCCTCACACTAGGTCTTATTTCTTCTATCAACTATATATTTGTACACATTAGTCAATTTCTCTTCTTTCTGCTACTTCCTTACCCTTCGTGGTCCTCTGGTAACCAGCAACCTACTCTACTTTCGTGAGATTGATTTTTTAGCTCTAAAGTGTCAGTGAGAACACACAATATTTGTCTTTTCGTGCTTGGCTTATTTCACTTAATATAGTGACATCCAAATCCATCCATGTTGCTGTAAATGATAAGACTTTTTTGTTGTGCCTGAATAACATCCCATTGTGTACTAAATTTTCTTTATCCATTCATTCATTGATGGGCACTTAGGTTGATTCCATATTTTGGCTCTTGTGAATAGTGTTGCAATAAACATGCAAGTGCAGATCTCTTTCAATATATTGATTTCCTTTCTCTTGACTATATATTCAGTGGAACTGTTAGAACATATGGTAGTTCTATTTTTAGTTGCTTGAGGAAGCTCCATCCTGTTATCCCTAATGGCTGTACTAATTTATATTTCTACTAAGAGAATATGAGGATTCCCCTGTCTCCACATCCTCGCCAGCATGTTATTACTTGTCTTGTTGTTTAAAGGCCATTTTGACTGGTGTGAGATGATAACTCATTGTAATTTTGATTTTCATTTTTCTGATTATTAGTGATGAGCAGTTTTTTCATGCCCCTGTTAGGCATTTGTATGTCTTCTTTTGAGAAAAGTCTATTGAGATCTTTTGTTCATTTTTAAATCAGAGATTTTTTGCTATTGAGTTGTTTGAGCTTCTTATGTAATTCTGGTTATTAATCTCTTCTCAGATGGAGAGCTTGTAAATAATTTTCTCCCATTTTATGAGTTATCTCTTCACTATAGTGATTGTTTCCTTTGCTGTGAAGAGGAGATTTAGCTTGATGTAATCCCATTTATCTATTTTTGCTTTGATTGCCTATGCTTTTGAGGTCTTACACATAGGATTTTTTTTTCTATATCATTTAGAAATGGAGCATTTCCTCAATGTCTTCTTCTAGTAGTTTCAAAGTTTCAGGTTTTAGATTTAAGTCTTTATTTTGATTTTTTTTTTATATGGTAGGAATTTGGGGCCTAGTTTCATTCTTCTACATTTGGTTACATAATTTTCCCAGCACCCTTAATTGAAGAGACTATCCTTCCCCATGGTGTTTTTGGAGATTTTGTCAAAAATATGTTGGCTATAAATACATGGATTTACATCTGGATTCTCTGTTCTGGTCCATTGCTCTGTGTGTTTGTCCTGTACACATTATACAGTCTATGCCCACACAATGCTGCTTTGGTACTATAGCTTTGTCATAAATTTTGAAATGAGATAATGTGAAGCCTCTAGCTTTGTCCTTTTTGTTCAGGATTGTTTTGGCTATTGGGGTCCTTCGTGGTTCCAGATAAATTTTTCTTTCAATTTCTGTGAAGAATTTCATTCTTTTTTTGATAAGGGTTGTATTGAATCTATAAATTGCTTTGAATAGTATTGACATTTTAACAATATTATTCTTCCAATCTATGAGCATGGAATATCCTTCCATTTTTTTGTATGTGCTCTTTAATTGCTTTTATCAGTGTTTTATCATTTTCCTTATATTGTTCTTTCACATATTGGTTACATTGACTTCTAGGTATTTTTTTAGCCTCCTAAGTAACTAGAACTATAGGCACAAGCTATCATGTTTGGCTGTTTCTACATTTTGAACTGGTTGGGACCTGTTTTGTGACTTAAGATATGGTTTATTACGGTGAATGTTCCATGTGTTAATGACAAAAAAGAATGTTATTCTGTAGCAGTTGGGTGAAATGTTCTGTAAATATTAGTTAGGCCTATCAGTGTGTAGTTTATCTCCATTATTTCCTTTTTGATTTTCTCTCTAAATGATGTCTTCATTTTTGAGGATGGGGTGATAAAGTCCCTACTATTATTGTATTGCAATCTATCTCTCCCTTTAGATCTATTAATGTTTGCTGTATATACTTGGGTGGTCCAGTGTTTGGTGCACAGATATTTGTAATTGTTATATTTTCTTGCTGAAAACATTTCTTTATCATTATATAGTGATCTTTTTTGTTTTGTTTTTTATGGTCTCTGATATATAGGCTATTTTATCTCATATAAGTACAGTCACTCCTGCTCTTTCTTGGTTTCCAATTACATGTAACATCTTGTTCCATCTCTTCTCTTTCAGACTGTATATTTATAGGTGAAGTGTTTTTTTTTGTAGGCGGCATATAGTTGGGTCTTGGTTGTTTATCTATTCAGCCACTGTATGCCATTTAATGAGAGAACTGAGTCCATTTACACTGAAGGCTATTAATAAGTAAAGACTACCGCTACTTTGTTGCTTGTTTGCTGGTTATTTCATAACTCCTTCCTTTCCTCCCTTCTTACTTTCTGGTTAAATACTTTTTCTCTGGTAGAATGCTTTAATTCATTGCTTTTCATATTTAGTGAATTATTGGTTTTTGCATTGTGGTTATCTTGAGACTTGCAAAAACACATCTAATAGTTATTTTAAGGAGATGAAATGTATCTTAGATTACAAACAATAGTATAGAAAAAAGATAAAAACAAAAATCTATACTTTAATCCTATTCCCCCACTTTTTGACTTTTAATTATCTAAACTGACATATTTTTAAATTATCTCTCCCTTAACAAGTTGCTGTAGCTATTAATGCTTTTGATAGATTTTTCTTTGTACTAGAGGAGTGAATTGCACACCATGCAGTTATTACAGTAATCTGGGTCTGTCTGTGGACTTCATTTTACTGGTAGGTTTTATACCTTCCATTTTGTGTTATTGTTTTACTTTCAAATAAAAGAACTCTCTTTAGCATGTCTTTAAAAATGGGTCAGTGGTGTTCAATTCTCTCAGCTCTTGTTTGTCTGGAAAAGATTTTATTTCTCCTTCATATTTGAAAGATAACTTTGCTAATTAAAGTGTTCTTGAATGGCAGTTTTTTCTTTCAACATTCTGAAAATGCTGGTGCACTCTTTCCTTTCCTGTGTGATTTCCATTGAAAAAAATCTATTGCCAAATGAATTGGAGCTCCTTTATATGTTATTTACTTCTTTTCTCTTGCTGCTTTTCAAATTCTCTCTTTGTCCTTGACCTTCGAGAATATGATTATTATATTCCTTGGGGTAGTGTTATTTGGGTCAGGTCTGTTTGGTATTCTCTGACATTCCCATACCTATATGCTTCTTTTTGAAGTTTTGGAAGGTCATCTGTTTTATTTCTTTAAATAAACTTTCTACTTCTTGCTCTTGCTCTACTTGCTTTTAAATACTAGTAATTCGTAGATTTTGTTTTTTTGAGGTAACATTCTATATCTTGTAAGTATTCTTTATTGGTTTTCATTCTTCTTTCTTTTTATTCTTCTGACTGTGCATTATCGAGCAGCCTGTCTTTAAGATTACTGATTCTTTCCTCTGCTTGATGCATTCTACTCTTGACAGCCTCTAATAAATTTTTACATTCAGCAAATGTATTTTACAGTTCCAATATTTGTTCTATTTTTTAAATTATTTTAATCTCTGTGTTTAATTTATCTGATAATTTTCTGAACTCCTTTTCTGTGTTAACTTGGAGATCATTGAACTTCCTTAAAGCTGCTATTTTAAATTGTTGGTCAGAGAGCTCACATATTATGTTGTTAGGTTCCTTGCCTTGGGGAAATCATGCTTCCGTCTTTGCTGTTGTTTTTTGTAAATGTACATCTGCATCTTTGCATTGAAAGATTTATGATTTATTTCAGTCTTCTTTGTCTGACTTGTTTTGGTTTTTTATTGGATATATTTGCTGAAGGTTCTTTACCACTAGGCCGCTGCCTCCTTTTCAGCTGCATTTGGCACCTTAAACCCAGGTTTGCCTTGGCTCTACTAAACAATCTCACGGCTTCCCTTTCCAAATAGAGGAGACTCCAAAGGGAATATATTGGCAGTGTGTGTTGGCTGAATAGGGCTTTGTGCCTACTTGTAGAACAAACCTTGTATAAGGTGGTCCTGCTGGGCAACTACTCTATTTGGTGTTTCCTTTGCATTACAGAGCAGAGTTTCCAGGGCTGGGTTGGCAGTCCTGCCTTCCCTTTGTCTCTGCCTGTCCTTGGGAATATTTCTCCCTTTAGGCACTTAGGATGCTTCCCACTGGTTAATATAGAGGCACGCCTTTTTCCTGGGAACCCAATATGGTGGAGAAGCTGGTTGTGTACCTCAATGTCACATTTTCTAGTGTAGAAACTCTGCGCTGGGGGATGTTTTTCCATGTGCTTGGTACTGGGCAGAATGGAGGGATGAGCATCACAGATGTGAAGTCTGATCTTGTTACTGTCTATATTTTTGTCAATTCTTGGTGGGTCCAGGAACTGTCTCATCTTCACATTTGAGTTCTGGGATATTGATGGTTGTAATCTTGGCACTCAGTGCATATTTGTTTTTTTATTTTCTGTGGGAGAAGCGTGACTGAAGCCAGCTTGCTTCTACACTGCCATTTTATTACTGGAAGTCAAGCTGTTAACATTTTTCTGTTTTAGTTTATATATATGTAATAGATAATTGGATGTAGGGATTGTAATATTTGCTTTGTCAATGTTTAGACTTAGTGATATTCAATGAAAGTATTTCAAAATTTGAAAAGCACTGTGTAAAGGTTCACAGCACATTTATAGGGAAACTTCACAGCACAGACATAGGAACGCTGCTTAGCCAGCTGTCTAAGTATGGGGCAAGCCATCTGACAACTCTGAGGTTAGGATCCTAGCATATACCGT